TTGATCGTTTGCATATTCAATCTCCTATAGTCGACACATAGGCGTGGGTCGCCATTCTTCTTTTTCACTACGACTATAGGTGAAGCATATGGGGATTCTGATTCACGGATGATACCCGCTTCAAGAAGGGTTTGAAGATGTCGTCTCACAGCGTCGTAATCCTTAGGATGGATAGGACGGGGTCGATGCTTAAATGGCGTCTCATCCTTCAGTTTGATACGATGTTTGACTTTCGTCGCGTGACCAAAATCGAGGTCATGATGGGAAAACACATCAGAGTAGGTGTTCAGTGTCTGTGTTATTCGTTCCTTCCATTTTGCAGGAAGTGGAGAATTTCCGAATTCAAAACTCAGGCTGGCATTCTGCTGCTCTTCATGACAGGAATGTTGCTGACTGGAGCAGACAGTGGATGACAGGGGCAATTGACTGGGGCTACAGGTGTTGTGAGTCTGGCTGATCTCATGAGGTATAGCGAGTTCTGCAATGACAGAGTTACTTGGCAAGACGATGTCATGGCTGGTTTCATTTCGCAGCAAAACTGGCACCTTGTACGGGGAACGTGCCGGAATAGAGATCAAGCAGCTGTCAATAAAGATTCCCCCTGGCAAGGACGAGATAGAGGGCTCTTCAAGTACTGCCCATCTCTCGTTGTTCGCTTCACTTCCAAAAACAAAGCCTTCCAAGACAACCTTCCGTCCGGCAGGGACAATACCTGGTTCATGACGACTTAACTTCACAACACCAATCTGACCCTCTGAGTTTTGTTTTCGTCTGAGCTCCAGGGTTTTCAGGACTTGTTGGTAGCCACAGTATGTGTTGCTTACCAGAGGACTTTCATCACAGAACTGTTCATAGAGGGGGTCTAGAGTATTCGTACCAATTAGCACAGGCACGCTACTGTTGGAGCGAGTGTCTGGTACTATCAGGGCAAGAGTCTGTACTTCAGGTTGTGAAGCCATAAATTCTTTAGGGAACTGCATACTTAACTGTATGTAGCCTAGGTAGGGGACTGCCTGGCCGTTTGCACCTTCAACGTCCAGTATGTCACTCACTGGGCGTATCGGGTGATCAGAGAGGTGTGAATCATAGTAAGACTGAGACACAGTCGTAACTTGTGACCCAGTGTCAAGCAGTGAGTTACATTCAATTCCATTCACTTTCACATGTGCTGTGCTCTTTTTTCCTACTAGGCCTCTAGGCAGTTCTCCTGTTCTTACAGCTCTGTGTTCGTTAAGTGTCACTTTTTCCTTGACTTTCTGTGTCGTGGTGGGACTGTTTGTCAACTCTGTTCCTATTTGTCCCTCAATAGAAACAGTTACTTGTTTAAAGAACTTTCAACAACAGGGTTTGCTTTTTCCCACGCTGTCTGTCTTTCTTTCAGCTCTTTTCTCTTTGCGTTAACTAGTGCAGGGTTTGGTGTATCAGTGCAGCTGGTTGCTATATGCCCATCCTCACCACATTGGAAACAATACCACGGTCTGGGCTTTTTCGGCGTGGTGTCTGGTTTTTGTGCTTGTGCTTCAGCACTGGCTTGTTCTTTTGGTGTAGGTTTCGGCTTTTTCTTTCCAGCTTGGGGTTTATTTGGCGGTTTGTCTTTGGGGTAGGAAAGCGCTGCAATCTGAGCTTGGAGGTCAGCTATCTGCTTTTGAAGCTGATTCATCGCTGATGGAGGAGTTTCAGATGGACATGGTAAGTCATACTCGTTGTTAGGTTCATACAGGTTCTGTGCTTGAGCTTGAACTTGGACTTTGGTCTTTGTGAAACCGAGATGCTGTTTCATTCTGTTCGCTTTGGCTGTTTGTTTATCTTCTTCCATGCGCAGGAGCAACAGCAGCTCTGTAAAGGTGGGGGGCTGCTCCTTTCGCTTTTCAAGCTGAAGTGTGCTGATCAAAGTATTATTCCAACAGCCTCTGCAGAATTGTTTCAGAAGCTGTCTGTCTGAATCAGTTGGTGATATGGCTTTCACCTTCACAATCTTGTTCAGAGCGGTCTGAAGACGATGAAGATAACCGGATGGCTTCTCACCGGAGTTCTGGTTGATGTTAAGAAACTCTGCAAACAGATCGTCTCCATCTTTCACTATGCCATAAGCAGAATCGAGCAGGTCAAGATAAGCTCTTGGGGGACAATAAGGACCTAATGACTTCACTACTGTAGCAGCTGGGGTTAAAAGACTGTCAACAATCTTCCTCACAAGTTGTCCTTTAGGGACAGACGGATCAGCTATGTAAAACTCCACATTGTTTCGCCATGTGTCGTAATCAACCTCAGTGCTTGGACATGGAACTCTGCCCGAAAAAGTCCTCAGCTTCACTGAGTGTAGGTCTGAACGAAGGTCGGAGCTCTTCACTACATGCTCAACAATGAACCGTTGCATCTCAGGCGGGTTCAGGTGATCAGGCGCTGGCTTCAGTTGCGGAAGTGAGTCAGGTCGGCTTATGTCAGGGGTAATAGTTCTAGTGGGCTCTAGAGTGTGTGCATTTTCGGGTTCAGTACAAGAGGGAGTCTGTGCTGTTGGTTTATCACCTAAGTCAATTAGCTCTGTATCTTTAACGTTTTCAGCTGCTGGCTTTGTCTGGCCAACAAGGTTAGAGATTCTGGCTAACTCATCTTGTAAGAGTGTTTCAAACGATTTCCCACTAAGTTTGGCAATGTCCTTAAGCTGAGTTAGGAATGACTCTGTTAAACCTGTACCTTTCTCTGATGAGTACACATTTGCAAGAGCATCAACATGGTGAACAATGTCAGTGTTACCGTCACAAACTCTGTCAAAAGGCAAAGAACCTTGGAGTGTTTCAACAGCTAATCCAGATTCAAATTCAAGAACGACTTGGTCGCTAGCATCAGGCACTTTGATTATTCTGGAAATTTTACCATATTGCTTCAAATATTCAAAAACCTCATTGTCAACCTCAGTTTCTGTTAAACCCCTTATAAGAAGAGAGTAAGGCACTTTCACACTAGCTAGTGTAACAATTTCCATTGTAATCAAAACAAAACACAACACTTAAAGGCAATAGTCAAAAAGAGAAAAAATACAAAAAATTGTGGCGATTGCACTTAAAATAAACACTCCTGGCTGGCTCGCCAAGTTTTACCGTGTAACCCACTACTGAGTATGTACACGTCACTGTTGGACCAGTTTCTAATAACTAGAAAACAAGAGACACTAAGCTCTGCAAGACAAGTGCAATTAAAAGACACCACACAAGGATATAAGGTTTTTCTTCTTTTAGTAATGAATTGAAAAGTTAGAACTGTTTACAAATGAAAATTAGACCTTTTTAAATAAAATAAAAAGTAAATTGTCCTTCAAAAAGATTGAGAAAATAGTCCTTTATCCAAAAGTGGAAAAATAAAGAGTTCCTTTAAGTTGTTGTTCAAAAAGAAAAAATAGTTCCTTTCAAGTAGTTCCTTTCAAGTAGTTCAGTTAGTTCAGTTCAGAACAGTTCAATCCTTGGTTCAGTTGTAAAGTGTCAATTCAAGTAGTCAATAAGTCAAGTCAGTCATAGTCAGTATGATGTGACTCTAGTAGGCCACAATCCTACCAGATATGCCATGTGCCAATGACATAGAACAGGATCACACTCAATGGTTGGGTTGGCTCGCCATCAGATGTAGTCGACGAATCCTCAGCGAAATCCAGATCCAGCTCAAAAACTTGACCTGTGTAACCATACCCTAAGTTAAGCTACACATTCAGGGAACTTCCAGTTTCAGTTTTCTATCACATATCAAACAGTTTCAATTTCAAGTAGTTGTACAACATTTAAATCAATATTCTCAAAAGAAAAGCTATGCAAACTGCATACACTTTGTTCATACTGAAAAGCATTGCATACCATTCAGGTTAATTACCATTATCAAGTAAACAGGATGAATACTATGAAATATACTGAAATCGCGGTAACCTTGCACAAACATTACCGAGTACAGCGGCTATCATGAAAACACGTTCAGCTCTCTCACCTCTCACGCGCTGAGTGCGAGATCACTGCATGTGCAATACGTTCAGCTCATACCGAGCTTAAAGCTACTTATTTCAACCAAAATACACTTTCAGAATCATTACAACACGTATTAACAAACAAAATACAATTCTTAGGTTTCACTGAAGTATTTAGCAGTGATAAACATCATAAGACTTAGGTTTCAGCAGTTCAGCAGAAAGATAGAAAAGTTCTCTTACCGAGACGATTCAAACAAAAAGAAAAACATTCGATGAAACAAAGCTTCTGGTCTTCAAAACATACAGCAACATACAGCGCTGGTCACTCAATACTCCAAAAAGTAAACTTATAGTTCAAAACAACTTAGAATTACTTTCTTTCAATAGTTTCTATCTCCGAGGAAAATGGATGCCTCTGCTCTCTGGCTCCCGCTAGCTCAAAAGACAGAACGGCTCCACAGGAAACCGTATGCCTGGAAAACGTACGTCAAAATAAAAGCACACATACGTAAGAGTCACAGTAAAAGTACTGCTATATCAAATACATGTAAATCATGTTTTTAACAATGACAACCCATCATTCATGAATTGTTTCATCAGAATTACACCTGTTTATTATCCCTTTTTACTATTTATGCTTTTTATCACTATTTATTGTACTTCCTTATTATGCATTTGTCACCTGGGTTACATGTGTTACCAGGCTTGAAATGAACAGGAATGTGGTGTTTGCCAAAGATCCTCTTGAGTTTTTCCGACAGGCCTGCAACGTAAGGGATTACAGTGCTCTTGCGTCTCTCCTCCCTTTCCTGTTCAGTGTTATTTCTCTTTCTGTTCTTCCCAAAGGCCCACTTAGGGTATCCACAGGTTGTCAGGGCATTTTTGATGTGCTTTTGTTCCTTTTCCTTACCTTCTTTCTTCGTGGGAATGTTCTCAGCCCGGTGGTTGAGTGTTCTGCTGACACCCAGTTTGTGCTGCAGAGGATGGTGGGAATCAAAAAGTAGATATTGATCCGTGCGTGTTGGTTTCCTGTACACTTCAACGTTGAGACACCTGGAGCGCCATCAGACCAAAACCCACACGAAATTCCAGGATAGATACCCATCAAAAAGCAGACTCCTGGCAAAGAAAGTGGAAGAACTCAAATCGGGGTTGAAAACCCAGCAACGCCTTTTCTCTAAACCTGCTTCTCTAAACAAGGCTGCCACGGAAGTTTCATTTCATGTGAGTCACCTGTTAGCTAAACGCAAAAAACCCTTTACGGACAGAGAAATTGTGAAGGAAGCAATGGCCATCACAGCAGAGATCATGTTCAGTGATTTCAAAAATAAAGGAGAAATCAAGTCTGCGCTCCACAGTGTTCCACTTTGCCCTACAACTGTGACAAGGCGGGTGGAATCTCTGTCCGAGGACGTGGATAGACAAGTGTTGCGGGACTTAATGGACTGTGAATACGTCTTACTCCAGTTTGATGAATCCCAGGATATAATGGACACCGCTCAGTTTGTTTTTTTTTGTTGTCAGAATGACCTTCCTGGATTTTACAGCGAAGGAGGACTTCCTCACTCTTTTGCATCTAAAGGGGAGAACGAGAGGTGAGGATCTACAATCTACAATGAGTTCAAGAAATATGTCAGTGATAACGATATCCCTATCCAGAAGCTGGTGGCAATAACGACAGATGGGGCCCCAGCAATGCGCAGGCTATGCCGTGCTGACCCAGATTTTACCTACTTTGTCAACTATCACTGTGTGATTCACCAACACGCCTTGACGGGAAAAGTTTTGGAATTGTCCCACGAAATTACATTGGTTGTGAAACTTGTGGACTTGATTTGTGCGAAAGCGCTCCAGCACCTCTTATTCAAAGAGTTATAGGCAGAGCTCGATGCCGCATACGGTGACCTACTCCATGCTGATGTGCGGTGGTTAAGTCTGGGAAAATTGCTGCAAAGATTTGTCGACTTGCTGCCGGAGATCAAGACCTTTCTGAGAACATGGAATGAGGAGCCCGAAGAACTTTTTATTTTTATTGTGATGTTTTTACATTCAAATTAATTTAATTCAATGACGGAATGCGTCTCTAATAAAATGTTTTATTAATATTACGGCCAAGCTTGGTGTTTGGATGACACAACTGAAGAATGGGATGCTGGCACACTTTCCCAACCTGGAGAAGATGGTACAAGGCCTGGAAGATGACGAGGTTTTTCAGCCTAAACGGTACTGTGCTCATCTGGATAAACTGTCAACCAAGTTCAGTCGGCGTTTCGGTGAGTTAGATGACATGGGAGAGATTTGCGCTTTCGTGTCACACCCGTTCGCCCCTATTGACATAGAGCAGGTTGCAGCCAAAATGCTGAAAGTGTTTAACTTGCCAAATGACAGTGAAATTGACATGGAGATAGTCGAGATGCAAAATGACATTGAGCTGAGTGCCAGAGCAAGAGACAGTAACTTTTGGGGCCTGGTAAGCAGAGAGAGGTTTCCTCTCCTCAGTGGATGTGCCCTGAGACTGAGTGCATACTTTGGATCCACCTACCTCTGTGAGATGACATACTCACAAATGAAAAAAAGTGATGATCACCTCACAGACTGCCTCAGATTGGCTGTCAGTAGCTATGAGCCGAACTTCAAATCACTTACAAACAGCATCCAGTCACAGCCATCACACTGATTCAAGTTTGAATGCCAATGTAGACCTAATGATGTTGCAATAAAAGGACTGCTTAAGAGAGTTCTTTTCTCTCTCTCTTTTTTTTCTGTATTTTTATAAAATGCTTATGGTTGGCTAGATATGTTTTGTTATGAGAATATTCAGAATGTCAATTCACTTTTTTTCAGACCATTTTTATCTTCATTTTTGTGTGTGACAATTACATTATATTTGAAACCTTGAAGTGACATAATCTGATTTTTTTTTTCCAATTTATATGCTAAATGTCCAGTAGGTGGCTCTGCCTGTGTGTGAACATTAGGCATATGTCACCTACTGGATAAAATATGTAATTGACAACTTGTCAGCCTGTAATTGCATGTTTTGCCCAGTGCAAATGCAATGAAACCATGTATAATCCATAATGAATTAATGCACACCACCACAAATATGAAATAGTGCACTAAACCAGCAATTTGGCTTTTTTTCTATCAGCGCTTCATTAGGTAGATCTTGCCTCGCACCAAAGTTGAGGTATGTGATCTTGGGCTTAAAAGGTTGGTGACCACTGCCCTAGAGCAAACTAGCAGAGGCCTGAGTGTCGGTCACTGCAGCAGTTTAACTGCAACAGAAGAGACGATTCGGAAAAAAATCCATGAAAACTGATCAGTTACAGCACAGCTTTCATCCTACAATGATTGATTCTGAAAAAGCGTTTTAACTCTCTGTATTTTCCGCTCACTCCGACTGTTCTTAGCCTGGGAAACAAAAACAGGTGATTTGTATTTTGAAATATACATTTAAATATGTGGGCGGGTAAAAACCATTAAATTTACTCCAACAAAAATGGTGAATTTTGGTATTAAGTGTCTGAACTAGCTGGGGTGACATACTGCAGACAGTCAGCAGCTCTGAATGGGGCCACGCCATCACTTAGACCTGGGCTTACTTAAATAAAACTTGAAAAGTGAACTTCTTAGGCTAAAGAAAGAATAAATTAGGCTGTAAACATCTTTATTTGTGGTAGTAAGTTGAACATTTTTACGTGGGGCTCTATGGGGATCAACTTACTTTTGGAGTCAGCCTCTAGTGGATGTCAGAGGAACTGCAGATTTTGGCACTGCTTTAGCTTTTTTTGCGACAGTATTCAATGGCAACTGAACAGGGTAATAAGATTTAAAAGGGAGTGTGATGCTAACAGACTTAAAAAAAACATTAAGAAGACTTTTAAAGCTTTCAACAGACTCTCCTAATGGTGCCGGCTGTAAGTCAGAAGCATAGACTGTATATACTATGGACAACTTGACTCTGCCTTCTGTCATTATACAAACCTGAAGCCGACTCCCGACTGCGTATCAGTTAGTGTAGATGAAAAGTACTTCCAGGTTAAGGATTTATCAGTATTGCAGAACAATCCAATGGTCTATCTCTGATCCACGTGGACCCCTACAGGACTTTTAGCTGCTAACTCTGTCTGAAGGTAACAGCACAGCATAAGGAAACATAGTTTACTTTATCAAGCACAAGAAAACCTGCAAAAACCGAAACTGTAAAATCACGTTGCTTTTTCACATATAGTAGAGGCTCAATGGTCACCGAATTATATCCAAATTAGCAGGAAATAGACCACAGAAAGGTAAAACAACCTGTTGTGAGAATGTTGTTTCCTCTATACTGAGCCCAGCTGACTGGGGATGCACTACGCTGCTGCTACGCTCTAAACATGCATCCTGTATGCGATACCCAGGGCTGCTCTATTGAGCAAATTTGGAACGCACTCAATATGGATCCTGTATGTTTTCGGCTCCAGAATCCTCTTCACGTCTCAGTTCTGCAAAAGCCATAACGGTGAGTAACCTTGCAAAGCAGATTGATTAATCAGATAACATGCTTGTCATCTGGTTGATATCTTTTGCTACACCAGGTCTTTATTTAACAGTTAACCTGTTAGCTTTCAAAGTGAAAAGCATTTATTCTGCACTTAATAACATGTAACTACATTTTGAATTTGTCATTCTTATTTACCACAAACAAATAAATAGTAAGACATGCTGAGACACATTTGTAACCTTCTATTTACAGAGAAACTGAGACTCACCACAAAGACGTGAACAGTAAGCCAGAGGAAAGCCTCTATGAGCATTTTCAAACATAGTGATAACTGTAAAACTAAAACAAACACAAAAGCTAGGGTGACATTGCTTTTGTACTTATTATACATAGTAAAACTGGGACTCACCACCAACAGATGAACATAAACAGGAGTTACGCCTCAGTTTAATTTACTGTTCATATAGAAACTGAGACTTACCACAAACAGATGAGTGTTAGCATTTAGAAAAGCCTTTAAAGTTTAAATAATTTTATAATGAACACTTCATGTTGTATTCCAGAGCTGCATCTTGTTGTGTTGATGCTGCAGCTGTCAGCAGAGTTTCTATTCACCTGTAAGCACACTGGCTCGCTGCTCTGAGGAGTTCTGAGAGAGCAGGAGGAGCATGAGTCACAGCCAGATGAACATGGGGATTGTCAGAAAATGAGAAGTACATGAAGAAGACTCTTGATTCAGGTAGGTATCATGATGTTGTGTCACATTAAGGATTCTGCAGCTCTGTAGCTGTCAGGCTCATGAGGCAGAGCGGAACAAATGCTGGACGACACCGATCCTTAGTGCCGGGGAGCAGAAACATCTCAGAGTTTAGAGGATGTGGCTGAAACAGACTGCTTTCCCCCCAGGGTGGTTTGAACAGTTATTTCAGGTCTGTTAAAGCTCTGTCTGACAATCAACTCATCCACTGTGACTCTGCCTCATCACTGCTGACCTGTTACCTGACCTTGTCAGGTGTGAGCACTCTCACTGTAAGCTAATCCATTACCTGAATCAATGCCTAGTGCAGGACTTACACTGAGACCCTGTTTGTCTTATTGAGCCATAGCACTGGACGAGCAGAGAGAGGGGAGAGAGAGTAACAATGAAAGCAAATGGCTTATAAACCTTATTAACAGTCTTTGAACTGAATTTGAACATTTGAATAATGTTTTTCAAGTGTGATTTTATGAACTATTTGTTGCAAGAAGATCTGGGATCATTGCAGCACTTTTTTGTTTTTGATCATTCTACACAAAGAAAACAAACCCACAGACTTCAATATTTACAAGCAAGCAAACTGCATGTGTGCTCTGTCAGCACAAACAGTGATTGAGTCCTGCAGAATAACACATGGAGCATGATCAGGTCGATAACAGCTGGCCTTACATTCCTGAAACTGCTTTGCAACCGTGCTCCACCCCAGCTCCTCCTCTTATGCTGTGTCTGAGCTTACTTTTTGTTCTTCTTGGGGTCTTTGCTGCTCCTCTCATTGCCTTGGCTTTTTATGTATGCACATGCAATAGAGAGGAGGTGTGCAATCTTACATCTTTACATCTGGATGAAGCCTTGCAGATGTGCACACGGAAAAGCCAGCAGATCTGAAAACCCAGCTCTTTGCTGCTCTCCCCGCTTTGGCTTTTTTATCTATACGCATCTAACAGAGGGGGACTGTGCTCTCCCCAATTCTGGCTCTGATATTCCCAATATGCACATGGAAGGGCAGGGAGCTATACAAAACCATGCTATACCAGTCTAACCAAAGAAGGGGGTATAGAAAAATGGTAGGAATGAATGTAGCTGCAGGGCTACCCGAAGCTAACAAACACTTTGTATTCAGAGCCCCACACCTGGCAGCCAGAATCACTTGTTGCATGGCTAACTGAGATAAGTGAACTGGAATCACCTTTAAGCTAAGAACAAACTACAAGATAATAGTTGCACTTTGGGACTTGCTACCAACACAAGGTCAGATTTTCAGGTGGTTCTTCAAATCGCCTTGGCAATCCAGCGGTGTGAGATGTGTAGAGTGTGATCCACCACCACAGCTTACTAAAGCTGATCTCCTCTACTTCCTTTAACAGAAAGAGAATCATAAAAGTCCCCATGCTGGATCATGTCATTGAAGTCCTGCAGTTTGAGTCCAGATTTGACCTGAAAATCTGTTTTTTTGCAGCTCTGAGCTGCAGCTTCTTCCTGAGGGAGCGGCTGGGTGAAGCACAGCAGGAGAAATAACCTCTAACGTCTCCACTCATCAATATTACAGGCTCTTGTCCGTACAATTCTCTGAAATCTCAGCCAGCTTTAGGCTCTAAATAATTCACACAATAAAATCTTCCCCCCCCCCCCCCCCCACACACACACACACACACACACACACACACCCTCCATCTCCATGCACTTCATTAGACTCTTCTTCACTCGTTTCTGCTCAAAGTAGAACGATGAAGGAGGGAGGGAGGTAGACTGTGAACAGAGTGTGGAACAAGGCCAAGATGTGTCTGTTCAGAAGATTCACCTCTCAGACTGGCTGCAGAAAGTATGAAGTTTTGCACTTTTATTTTTGTCAATCTTGCGCACTGCTGTATTTAAAAAATCATGGATGGGATCAATTCATTGGGTATTTTAGAGATTCATGATGGTTTAAAAGCTACAACCAGGGCATCTCTGAGGGAAAAACAGCTTACTTTCCAAGTAAGACTGAGTCCTGCTAAAGTTTGCTTTCATGCATTTTATATTTCAAATCTTCAGGATGCTCAAATTCTCAGCATTCGGCCAATATTGGGACCTGTCACAGTCTGGCCCGCTTTCAGACAGACCTTTGTTTGGGGCAGGTTTAGGAACCCTCATCCCTTAAGAGCTGGGACCTCATGTAAAATGTTGATATAAGCAGATTCTGTTGGTACTTAGTACTTTACGGACGTTTCAGCTGGTTTTTAAACATCCCACATTCTTCGTGGCTACTGGAGTCTGTGATGGTTTGAACCCTCGGTAGTGGGTCATTCTAGATCTATCAGCTGACACATTGACTCTCTTTCAGTGTAACTCATGTTTTCGCCCTTCGACCCGCAAAGAGACTCGTTCTTGGTGCTTTCATCCTTGGTGCATTCATCCGATATTGGCTGCAGCGCGCGCTGCTGTGACGCATGGTCACATGCTGTTCGGTCAGCATCAACACAGAGTGGATGAGCCCCGATCCAGTGAGCACCACACAGATTACCAACAGAACTCAAAGCAGAGCGAAGTTTACTTCCTGAAAACTCCTGCAGTCACCTATCCTGTGACCATCTCTGTTTTTACATTTTCACTCGGAATGAGGCCAACGGAGGGATCTTTAGAGGGGGGGATTTCAGAAATCCGGATTCTATTGAATCGGGCAGCTTAAAAAAAAACTGCAAAGTCTGATGAAGTAAACATTTTGCTGTAGTGTTTGAAACGTCTCCATCTGCGAAAAGACGCGCGGGTCATATTACCGTGTGAAGATTATGCCTTCTTTGACGCACTGAGACAGACCTCCGCTCTGTATCTGTTCTTATTTGTATGTGGATTTAAAAAGCTGGCAGACCAAGCTTTGGTTACACCTCTCCTGGCTGAAACTCGACCCTCCTTCTTGTTGTCACTTCTGCCCGCAGACCGGGAGCAGCTTGACGGCGCGCAGGGGTCGCGATGAAACGATCCAAATACTGATGTGAAGGGTGAGATCATTACCTTTTAACGTGAAGGTGTCTGTGATTTATATAGCGCAAAGCGAGTAAATGGCTACACGCCCAGAAGCATACCAAAAAGCGTTAATGCGCATAAACTGTTCCAAAATGTCATTAAGTCGTCCCTAGGTATTTTTTTTTCTGTTTAATTCCGGTGAGATGTTGACCAATTAAATGTTTTTAAAACGGACAACACGTCTTCCTAATCATGGACATGATGTCACAACACTGTCCAACACTTTAATGCACGGAAATCAAAACTAGTTCAACTATTTTCAAAGAATTCCGTTCGAAAAATGTGGAGAAATAAAAGGTAGCCTGCGCGCAAAGATATCACCATGGGTTTGGTCACTGATAGTAAAGTGTTGTTGAGGCTGCTGTTCAACTCAATGCACTCAGGATGAACAGTTCGAACCAACAACAATTTGCATAAAATGTTCTTGTTGTAACTTCAGAGTGAAGGCAAAGTTTTCCCGCCTGCAAACTGTCTTATAGTGCTAATATGATCTCATAAGCCCCAGTAATTATGTGTGTGTTTCGATGCAAAGCTGCAGAATATGTATAGTGCTTCCTCGACCCTTTTTGCAGAGGTGAAATATTGAAGTTCTTGGTTTACTTATACCCCAAAGCTCATTTTGATATGTGGAACCCAAACTGAAGGTGGTAGATGTCTTTTATATGGAGTTTATTGAAGTTTAGATGAGATGAGTTGCAGTTTGAAAGCTCCACGATAAGAATCACTTTTACTGCCATGTGGGTTTATACATTCAGAGAGTTAGTGACAGTGTTTTGGACTCAGAAAACAGTTTGTCTTACCGCCAGGGAAGTAGAAAAAGAGTAAGGGAGAGTGGTAGAGTTGTAAAGGAATGTGAGGGATGATGGTGAGGGCAAAACTCCTGCATGAAGTAGATTGCAGATCAGCCTCTGTAATTCTGTACATTTCTGGAATTTTTTGAGGCCGTTTTGCTAATTTCGGGGACTTCATTGGGTGTGTGACATAGATTTTAGGATCTCTTTGGGTCTGTTCATGACATAATTTTTGGGTCAGTTTTGTGATTTCTTGGGAGCCCTTTGGGTGGTTTCATTGAATTTTTGGACTTCTTTGGGTCCATTCTGCAAATTTGTGGAATATCTTCTGGTCTTTCTTTCCAAAACAGCGTCCATCCTGTAAACTTCCAAGTCTGTAAAAATCTGGATTTCTATATGCCTGTTACCTACTAGCTGTGTTTAGTGACAGAGGAATGTACAGGTATCAGGAGCATGTCTGGCCTCTGAAAGTGTGTGTGTGTGTGTGTGTGTGTGTGTGTGTGTGTGTGTGTGTGTGTGTGTGTGTGTGTGTGTGTGAGCGAGCAGTGGTTTGTGTGTGATGCTGACTGTCTGTGTGGGTGTAAACGACTCACTGGCCCTTAGGGATGCTTATGTCCAGGGCTCTGTCGCTATGGAAACTTAAGCTGCTGATAGGTTGACCCTCAGGGTGCTGATGAGAGGAAGAAGAGAGGCTTGTGTTTCTAGGGTAACGTTTGAACTGAGACATCTTCATTAGATGATCTGTGACTTAGTGTGATGTTGGAGAGGGAAAAAACAGTACATGTATAATTATGTTCTTTTTTAGTTGATAGTGGAGTAGCGACCTCTAGTGGTCATAACAGTGCTGATAGCAGAGGGGATAGGGTAATGCTGGTGGTGTTAAACCTTTATCTGGATGATGATGGAGGAGCTGTCCTGCCCAAGCTGTTCACTCATGGACTCTTGACAAAACTTAGTGTCAACAAGCAGGAGTAAAACTGTACCTCTGTGTGATCCTCTTGCCTCTAGCTTTGCCACTGGTATTGACCAATCAGAATCAAGTATTTATCAGCAATAAAGCTTGGCTATAGAGAAGAAGCAGTTCAGTGGACTAGCTTGTAAGCAGTAAATCAATGTAATGTACTTGTCAAACTTCAGCTTTAAGCATCAGTGCACTTTATCATTTCCTTGAAGTAATAATCATCATATTTATCATTTTGCACTGCAGACGCGGAAGTTCTTCTTCCTTAGCGTCTCGGTCTGATTGCATTTCCATGAAGAAATGATCACAAATGTTCTTCCTTGAGCTGCGTCACCCCGCTGTAGTCTGTAATGGACTGGCCTGGGGTCTCGCTACAAACAAGCAGCTGCTGGAAGAGAGTAGGTGAGTTGTGTTTAGTCTCTTTGCTAAGAAATAAACCAAAGTTAAAAAGTTGTTTCGTTGGCTAGTGCTATGGCTGGGACCCTTTATGTACTGTTGGTGAACTTCAGTGCTGCTCTGAGCATTATTTGTGGCTATAGAGTGGCTTTTTGGTTGAGCGCATGGCTCCTGAGACCGCTGTGTATTGCTATCGCGGGTTGTTACTAAAGTTGGTATAACTAGAGAAGCAAGCGGTCAGCAACATTCATCTCTTGAAGGGGTATCTAACTCGGTGTTAAGATGTGTTTGACCCTAACTTAATTTTACGCTGGATTATCCCTTTAAAGTGCTCTGTTGGTGTCCTGTTGACAAACACTAACTCATGTGCACTGATGCTAAAAGCTGAAGTTTGTCTAGTACATTACATTGATTTACTGCTTACAAGCTAGTCCACTGAATTGCTGAGTCAAGCTTTATTTAACATAGAGTATGGGTCCTGGCTTTACCATCTACTTTGGACCAGTAAACTTGCGAATTATCTACTGGATTATTGTGATTCTTTGTATTTTAGTGTCCATTAGTGGTCTCTGTGTCGGTTCAAAATGCAGCTGTGAGTGAACTGCCTGAAAAAAGACCATGAGCTCAAGTATTGCCTCCCGCTCAATTTCAGGTTTGATTTCAGGTTTTCAGCACCTCATTCAAATGCAGCTGATTTCAAACTTTGACTTGACTTTATTGTTTCACAATTATCAACTCCACAAAGTCCCATTTCTGGTGATACTGTGTCTGATTTTGGACAGCTGTCCCCACTCACATAATTTTGCCTTTGCACTTTTTCTATGAGCTTTAGCACAACTCCAGATGCTCCTGCTGAACTTCAACACACCGACACATGATGAGATGATAGTCACTGCAGTCGTCACTTTCCTTGTGTGACTCTGAATATCTTTGCTGATGTTTTACATTTGCTCCAGTTTTTGATATTTTATAAAACATGAGGGAAAGCTGAATGTTAGCATTTCATTATTTAAATTCATGATTTAGCATCATGGATGAGTGATTTCACTTTGCAGGAGTGTGTTTGGGTACAGTCATGCAGATGCCTGCAGGAGGATGACTTTTATTTCCTTTTGTGTTCACTGTAAAATTAGACAAGCCTCTGCTGGTGTCCTTCTTAGCTTTAATTTGCTTTTTCATGTGCATGCATTCATGGCTCATGCAGATTTGGTGCACAAAGCATGACGGCGAAGTGGATATTAAAACGCAGAATCTGCCTCCCTGGCTAATGTCATGTCAAGCTGATTACAGACTTCTTCGCTCTGTCAAACTTCTTTTTTTTCTCCTGCTCCTTCATTGAAACACACTGTTTCGTATTGATCTGATCTGCTCCCTGTTAAAAACGTGGTTGTTTTTGGTGCTGGTAATGTCATAATTGTTGTTTATGTTTAAGGACCGTCCTGTTAGTCATTGCCTTCTAAACAGCAGTGAAGGTGTAGATTTAAGCTCCATTCCTCTTAACGAGGATCATATTCAGAGTCTGTCAGGTTGCTTCACTTATTCTGAAGTTCATTAATAACAGAGAAAATGATTTGCACACCTTTCTTTTTTTTTTAACTCACCAAATCTCAAATTTCTGAATCTTAACACTTTTATTTTAGATCTTTGAAAGCAAAATATTCAGTCTGAGGAGAAGGTAAAAGTACATTAAAAAAATGGACTAAGTGAACTGTTTAACCTCTCTATCCTGATGATACTTTGCAGAGTTTAAGCAGCCACAATCTTTATTATCTCATACAATCTTGACACATTTAAGGTCTTCGCTGACACGGTAACAGTGACTGTAGGCTGTTGAAACATGAATTTTGTCTCTGTGTCAAGAAGGCGTGGTAAAATTCTGACTGGCACCAACTTCCAGCAAAAGCAGCTTCAGATGAATACAACTTGACCAATGCTCAGTGTTTGCCTTCTTGTGCAGAATTTACATCAACTCTCTGCTGTCACATCAACTCTGTCTTTTTATTTCAGGCCTAAATTTAATGTCTAATTGAACCTGTTACACCCTACCTTTCAGTGCTTAAACGAAACACCTGAAAATCCTTTCAGTATGGCAGAAATTCTCTGCCTTATGAAGCTTGTGGAGATTTTTACAAACCCGTTACCCTGGAGATGCTCATAACCAGAGCCAGAAAACTTCAGGGAGACCATCTGATACCAGCTCTGAGCTCTCTTTAAAGTCTTTTTCTGGCCCAGTTTTAAATTAGTGAGAGAAATTTACTCTTCGTCCAAAAATTAAGAGCAATATTTTTAGTCATGGCTGCTGGCAGGAGGAGCGAATCTGAGGATTTTGGAGCTGTTGAGTGAGGCCATCAGATTTGATAGAAACACCATCATCTGTCTGTCTGTCTGTCTGTCTTCCTCGTCTATCTCCTTTTCCATCCTTCTTCCATCCTTGTTCTGTCTTCCCATTTTACTATTTTCTGTTTTCCATGTCTCTCCTTCCTCATTTTCTTTTCTTTTGGTCTCATCCTCCTCCTGACTTGTCCTTTTTCCTGCTTTATTTCTTCTCCTTCACCCCCCCACCCCCTTATTCCTCCTCCTCTTCCTTCCTGCAGGCTGTTGATGGAGAGGATTTCGAATGTCAGCCGGGACAGTGGTCATCGCAGGAGGAATTCTGGCTACAGTCATCTTACTGACCATCATCGCTGTGCTGTGTTTATGTAGGTTGCAGGTATGAATCTCTGTCTGTCTATGGCAGACTTTAAATCCAGTGATTTAGAGGGAAAAATGATTTAATTCATGAAGTAAGAGCAGATAGTCTTAGAGTCAAGTAGATGCAAAAATAATTCACAGATATGAGAAGGGAAGAGCGGGGCTTGTTGTGACATGGGTAAGTTGTCACATTGCAATTATCTTTGCCACCAGAGGGCGCAACAAAAAAAGTGGAATACTAGTTTTATTCCTTTACATGGTCAGGGGTCGTGTCCTGTCTGAGAAGAAAAGAACACATTGTGAGCTGTGATGAGCGCCAATTAACCATTTTGCTCAACACAAAGTAAAAAATGTACATGTTTTAAAATAAGCTTCTTCCAGAGTCCTTACAACTTATTTTAGCATACATGTGTGACTGTACATAAGCCACATTGTGATAAACACAGTATGGTATTCAAGGTATTATTACTACTGCTAGCATTCTTAAAACGTTTAAGAATGCTTTTAAGTTAAAAGCCATTTACAAAGAGAAATTAGCCAAAAGTAGACAGAAATGTAAACAGCTTGATGTACAGTCACACATGTAGGCTAAAATAAGTTGTAAGGACTCGTTTCCCGTCTGCTCCTAAATATCCTTGCGTCTATCATGTCATATAACAAATAAATGACAACAGTTCTAGTTTAAAAACAAAATAGACTCCCTGACATGGCCACTTTATGGTTTATGAGAAGCTATAAACTTCTACAGCAGAACAGAGCACAGCCGAAGCCAGCTTTAGCGTCAATTTGTAGCGCACATTTCCAGACCTATTAAACATAATTCCCGAAAAGTAAATTACAAAATCCAGACAGTATTATGAAGAGCAGAAGTTAGTAAAACAGCACAAAGCATAAATCTTTCCTTTACCTTTCAAAAAAATGAGTCGTGAGCTTGTTAATATTGTGAAAAATGAATGGCCGTCTATGGGCGATGCTAAGTGGCTCCACCACACGCTAACACAGGAAGTGAACAGAATGCTAACTTCCGCGTACTGTGAAAAAGGTCTATACAGAGTCAGACAGCTCTCCAAACTCCAGTACATGTTGCTTAATATTTTATGTTAACGTTTGTTTAATGACTATGTTCAATGACTTTCTAGCTCAATGATAAACATTTTCTGTGCCTGACTTTGATGTGCACTTTCAGGCAAAAAATGAGAACAACAATGATTTTGTCCTTGTTTTATTAGCTGCAAAATCAACTGTGTTATCTTACCCCCATGTAATGAGACAACTTACCCGATGGGCAACATGTCACATATTCACACTGTCTATTTAATTGCTTATAACTCTGCACTAACACAAGATTTGAAAATGAAATGAATATGAAATATACACCTGAGGCTTTGGTCTTTCATCTGGTACACATTTTGTTTATATATGATGTATTGATTCCAAGAAATATATGAGAGTGTTAAAAGTGTGACAACAAGCCCCGGCCTCCCCTACTGCTGATGTTATGCTCAAAATCACAGCGTCATGTTTTGGGATGGAAACTCAGAAGCAGTACTAGATTCAACCCAAGACAAGAGCAGTACATGATATGGATCCAAGTACTGTCTGTAAAATCCACCCCTTTTGTGAGTCACAGTTTTTAACTTTCAGGTGAGAAACTCTTAAGGCTCAAAGGTTTGTGTGTATAAAAATATGTACAAACTTGATAGCGCACACAAAGCTGATCTACTAACCAGTTGCACCAAGAATTGTGTCTGTCAAATGAGCAAAACAGAACGTGCAATCGATTGAGTATGTTTGCCTTCATGAATATGTAGAATGTATGTAAATCATCAGAACGCGACCGCCAATCCTACTGGATCCATTTGTGAGGCAAATTTTGTGGTGGATTATGGACAGCAGTAATTGTGAGAACTTACAAGAACCTGCGGATTCATGTGCAATCGCACGATAACAAGTTGTCTCTATAAAGACAGCCACATATGCTAACCATATAAGCAGTAGATTATGTTTACAGAGAAGGAAATCTGCTTCTAGACTTGTAAAATCATCATCCTCTCATCCATGGTGTCATCTGGATGAAATGCTGTCTATAAACCTTTCAATTGTTCGTCCCCAACCATTTGCTTGACGTGAAATACGACCCACCTGAGTGTTTTTTTTTTTAAAAGAAGCCAGATGTTTAATTTTGTGTCTGTGCCCGACTTCCTTTCTAGCACAGGTTAATCTGTGCTGAATTTATCCGACATGCTCTGGCGTCCAGAAAAAATAGAACTCTTGTGATCAGCTGCGGAGTCCGCCAATCCGCAGCGTAATGGAGAGAAGCCGGTGGAAATTGACACATTAACTTGATGTAAGCACAGGTGGTCGTGCCTGCTTGGCATTTCTGCCTGACGCACCTCCGACGGTGCCATTGTGCAGACTGCAGGGTCGTCAGCCGGGGGGCCACCCTTCACTGATGGTTCGCTTCATTATCCCCCGGAACATCTCCGGGTGGTGGAGCAGCGACAGGGACGTCTCCCTGCCGCTCCCTGCAGCCTGTAAGGATCTGTATTCTACCCACACTCTGCACCCAGTGTTATTATTGTTGTTGTGTATGTGGAGCGAGTCCCAGGGGACTATGCATGGTAGGGGCGTCCATCTCCCTGAGTCAAGCGTGGGCCTGACCGCATACCATTATGCCTCTCTTAAGAGCCTTCTGTTCCCCACGCCCTGTCCTTCCTTCTGAGCCACAGCCAGAAGCTCCCTTCCTCGGCCTCCTCCACAAGGTCACGAAGAGCTCGCTTCCTGTTGGATCCTGTGACTCCGAGCGTCTTCAGTAGCCGCTGTGTGGATGTCCTGGTGAAGCCCCTACATCCGACGTCCACTGGGAAGCCAAACTGTGTCCACCCAGCTTGTGAGCATGTTGCTGCCAGTTCTGCGTACTTGTCCTTCTTACGCTTGTACGCGGCCTCCATGTGTTTCTCCCATGGGACTGTCAGTTCAACCATGATGACGACTTTGGCAGGTGCTGACCAGAGCACAATGTCCGGGCATAGGGATGTCGCGGTGATCTCTACAGGGAACTTCAGTTGACGGCTGAGGTCGGCTGCTAGTTGCCACTGGCCCCCTAGTGACAGGAGCGACCGCTCTGTCCCCGTGCCACGCTGCGCTGTCGTCCCTGGCCTGGTAAACTGGATCCACTTGGGGGATGAAGGTGGGTTCTCCCGGTTTACTTGCTGTCTGCGGGCTTCCAGGATCTCTGCTAGCTTGCGCCGGACCTTGTCATGCCGCCACCTGTACCTTCCCTGTGACAATGCCATCTTGCATCCAGAGAGGATGTGCTTTAGGTTTGGGTTTGGGGAGCTTGGGTTCTTCTGTGCCGAACCAGGTAAGGAGGTTCCGGGGGCTGGGTAAGGTGTCATATGTGGCCGTAATCCGGAAGCTCAGTCTTGCCTGGGGAGTTCTCCACATGTCGGCCCAATTGATGGTTCTTTTGATCACAGCCTCCCAAGTTGTCCACAGTGAAGAGGATGAGAGAGATGGCACATCCCATTGCTATCCCCTTCTCAAGCCGGTGCCAGTCAGTTGAGATATCCCGGGTTGTGTAGCAAACGTGCTGGTTGTTGAAGTATTTGGCTACTAGATTCTAGACGCGTGGTGGTACGTGGAAGAAGCTAAGGGGATACGTGATGAGCTGGTGGGGAACTGAGCCGAAAGCATTTGCCAGGTCAAGCCAGACTACGTGCAGGTCTTCTTTGCTTTGTTTGGCTGTCTGGATTTGTTCCCAGATCACCGCTGAGTATTCAACGCAGCCAGGGAATCCTGGGACTCCTGCCTTTTGGCAACTGGTGTCGATATACTTATTTGCCAGGAAGTAGCTTGTCATCCGTCTGGCCAAGATGGAGAAGAAGATTTTCCTCTCCACGTTCAGCAGAGCGATGCCTCTGAACTGACTGGTGTTTTGGGAGTCTTTCTCCTTCGGGATGAAGGTGGTGACTGCTTGACACCATGACAGAGGGATGGACTCCGTTTTCCAAGCCACAACCATGAGCCTCCATTGCGCCTTCAGGAGCCCAGGGCAGTTCTTAAATACCTTATATGGCACGCCATTTGGCCCAGGTGCTGATGCCGATCTTGCGCGTTCTACTACTTGTTTGACTTCTGCCCACTTGGGAGGGGACGTGTCAAACTCTGTGGAAGGCTCAGTTGGGCGAGGTACATGGCCTGGTGGTCCCAAGGGCTTTGCTCACAGGTTGTCACTCAGATGATCTACAATGTGTTGCTCCAGCTCCTGTTTTGTGACCTGTAGTGTTCCGGTCTTATTCTCCTCTAGGAGGCTGCGGGTGAATTTGAAGGGGTCCCGGAAGAAGCATGTCCTTGCCTTCTTCCTACGGCTTCTCCGCTTCTTTATCCTTTCAGCTCTCCTGAGGTGTACAAGCCTTTCCTTGATCTTGTTCCAGAGGTCCTTCAAGCCCTCTTTTTCCTCCGCCTCAGCTTTCTTCCATGACTTCCTCAAGAGACATCGCTCCTTTACCAGCTGAAAGATTTCCCTTTCCTGCCTTCCGCTTTGTTTAGGACTGGGCCTCTTCACGGGCTTGTCTCCTAACCGGTTTCTCCCTTCCTCGTGGATAAAATGGCCGAGGTTGTTCAGTTTGGAGGTTGAGTTGCCCTTTAGGGAGTTCTGAAGGGTGGTGCATGTTCTCTCGTTGAAGTTTCTCCATACTTCCCTGTCGCTGGACTTTGGCCACTTGACTTGGGGTTTCTGTGTATACCTCTCTGGGGGGACTCTTACGGGCTCTGTGCGTGCGATGTTGCTCTCCTGCTGTGGCTCTGTGCGTGCGGTGTTGCTCTCCTGCTGTGGCTCTGTGCGTGCGGTGTTGCTCTCCTGCTGTGGGGGGCTCTGCTGCTCCAAATTCATTGTGCTGTTCTCCTGCTGTGGGGTGTTCTGCTGCTGTGGGGTCTGCTCAGAAGACTGGTGTTCCTCTTCCGTTCCAACTGCAATGTTGGGTTCACTAGCTCTGTGGTGCTCAACCTGGCTGTGATGCCTCCTTGTCTGACCTGCTGACGCAGTGCAAGCTTGCGGCCGGCTGTTGCCAACACACTTTGCCTTCCCTTGGTGGATGCGCAGGCCATGGTAAGTTGTTACTTTACTCCAGCCGCAGCAGCAGTGTCTCAGGATCCTTTGGTCCTTTGTCCTTTCCATGTGGTTTGTTACCGTGATATCCGTCCTTGCTGGTCCATCTTTCGTCCCGCCTCTCAGCGGACCAATGGGCTGTTTTTCCTCTTAATTTGCTTGTTGTTAGTTTGGGTGTCCAAGCTGGACGTGTGGAGCAGGTAACTAGCCCTTCCACCCTGGTGCGGTCTTTAACGCCGTCAGCCAGTCTTCCCTGGCAGCCCGCCAGTCTTTCCTGGACGGCAACTGCTCTCTTCTCAGTAGTCACTGGCGAACCAGAGAAACTTGATGTAAGCACAGGTGGTCGTGCCTGCTTGGCATTTCTGCCTGAAGCACCTCCGATGGTGCCATTGTGCAGACTGCAGGGTCGTCAGCCGGGGGGCCACCCTTCACTGATGTTTTGCTCCATCTCCGGGTGGTGGAGCAGCGACAGGGACGTCTCTCTGCCGCTCCCTGCAGCCTGTAAGGATCTGTATTCTACCCATGCTCTGCTCCCAGTTTTATTGTTGTTGTGTATGTTCAGCTAGAATCGGCGGATATGGCCTTTTCATAGCCATTCTGGATGTGGTGGAAATTTGGGTTTAGGCTCAGTGCTGTGGAGCCCTGGGTCTAAAAGCATGTGATTTATTTTGTTTTCCTGGAAAATGACAGTTTTCATAAATAATTAGGTCAAGCACAGATCAGACAGCATTTTTTTAATCTGTTAATCCTATTTGATTTTAAATTGTGTGAATCTTTTTTCGCATTTCTAATTTATTTTCTTGCATCTGCAAAGCACTTTGAATTGCCTTGTCTATGAATGGTGCTATAAAAATAAACTTCCCTTGCCTTTTATGTAGTCGTTAGCTTCCCCAAAACGATCAGTGCAACTCCATGGCTTCAAACTTCACTTTTCGTATATGGCCACTCGGTAGTGCATGCAAAAGAGGCCGGTCCACACCACTTTTGCACCTGTTATCAATTGTACATGCAATAACAGTAAACACCTGCAACACACCTACTAATAGCACATGCAATTTTTAGTATACACACAGTTCAGCGCTCCTTATTTGGAATCTTAGTAGATCAGGCCCTCTGTTTCTGCAACATTCAGGAGACCAGCTTGTTTTCAGACTGTCCATTTAAAATAGAGGTAATGTGAAAATGTATGAATTTAAGTGAAATGGTGTCACCTCTGCTGTTAGCTGACTATGCTAGATAGAGGCAGCCATCTTTGTTTTGGTCTGTTGACCCATGAAAGGCTGTATCTGTGATCAGCTGAACTGAAAAACACCCTTTACAGAAGACAGAGCTTTGGTTCAGAGTTCATTAAGTAAGTGATGATGTGGAGTTCACCCGGCTGTTGGTTTTTGAACAAAGGGGCTGAGCTAACTTGGATCTCCTGGATGATACACACGGAAAGTATCTCATTCAAACACACTGAAGTTTAAAGAAAAATAAGGTCAAAACATCTGTCACCAAACCTCTTTGTATTCGAAGATGACTCTAATCTGATCCTGTCTCTGCTGGTTTCAGTATTACTGCTGTAAGAGGGAGGAGTCTGAGAAGGGGGAAGAGGAGGAACCGGAGCTCTCCAGCATGTCACCATCACGCCCCCTGGCTTTGCCCGCTCCCCCTTCGCCTCCAACATCAGAGCATTTCCACGAACCGGAGCCTTTCCGTGAACCGGAGCCCTACCCCCCCACCTTCCTTACTGAGGCCAACGGTCCTACCAGCTACTCCTCTACACCACCACCGCCTCGTAGGTGCCAACGCTCACATGCCTTCTGCCCGTCCTGCGCTCGCTGCACGCTGCCTTTCTACTTGCAGCACCCTGAGCGGCTGTGCAATGGTGGGCGCAGGATAAGCTACAGGACTGTGCAGCAGGAGGACCTGGAGCTCCCCATGGACCTGGCCAGCTTCTATCAGAAGCTGAACCTGATCCGCTCTGTCACAATGAGGGAGGTGGTCACACATAGCGTCAGCACTGACGTGTAGGAGCAGACAGGGTGGAGGCAGCGCCTGAAGGAAAGCTTCATTTATGCAAACTGCACTGACTCCATTCTGTCTACAGACACACTTATTTACATGTTGTGTAACTGTTGTGCTGTGGGTGCAACACAACAGTTACTGACATGGAACTACAGTGAGGGCTTTGGGCTGATGAGAAACCTCTCCTGGCAGTCATTTGGGATGTCTACAGCTCTGGAGCAACTGCAAACAGCTGAATGCTCTTCTGTTCAGTCTGAAGGACTTGAACAACTTTGACTTGATATTTTATATCCTAATATCTGTTCCTCTGTGTTCTCTGTGAAAATAGCTAGTTTAGCTGCTAAATAATATACTGTATGTGTATAAAAGTGTAATCCCCAAAAATTGGAGCTTTGCCTGCTGATTTAACATGCAATTTGTTGATTGTGATCACACCACAGTAGAGAAAGTGATGGTGGTAAATATCCTGGATAACCCCTTATGCAGGAACAAGCCTCAGAGGAGATAAAGACATTTTGTTTATGCTTAATGAGTCTGTTTAAATAAATAGTCTCATCTCATTGTCAACAGATCCCAAGTGCCAATCAAAAACAACACTGAAGAGAACTAATTCATGCAAATATAAACTTAAAACAGTTTTTTCGAGTTCCCAGCTCTTCTGTGAAAACCCAGGACAGGGAGGACACAGTACCCATGTGTTTCAAGTGCATATAAACCAAGGCAAGAAGAACAGTAGCAACAAAGATATCCAAGAACAGAGCAGGCACCACTGAAAATTCATTTGACATGGGTAGATGAAGACAAAGCATAGCAGAGGAAGCTGGCATAGAGTAGGGAAGAGCTGCATCTGAAGGAGGAGCAAGGTGCAATAATGAGGAACGAGGTGGAAATTCCTTGAACATGAATTTGTGAATTTGAGATTTTTCTGTCTGATATTCGAGTAAGTAATTTGCACAGGTGCGTTGGAAGTGGTCAAAGACATAATGACTGACATAGTCACACTGAACCTGAAACTGAGACACTGGTTCTGCTCAGGTCAGGACTCTGGTGCTGAGAGATTTAATACCCTGGATTGTTCTGACACCGTGTCATTTGCATGACTGGAAAAGGATCTGCCACTTTAGTTTGCAAGATGCCAGTGTTCGGTGCATAAAGGGAAGGGTACCCTGAAGACAACCCTAAGGGATGCCAGCAGTGATGCTACAACATTCAGATGCAGTTTTTTTGGTGGAATATACACACCTAAAGAACTGTTTTTAAGAGGTTAGCTCAGCTAACTTATGCTGCTAAATAAGGATGATGATAATGGAGAGGTTTCTCTGGCAGTGCTGAGTTTTTCTGTTAAAGTGTACAGAGCCAGCCCAAGTCTTTTTTGGCATGCCTGTTTCGTGTACCAAGACTCATTTTGGAAAAAATAAACTGGAAATTAGTTTTTTTCTCAGTCCAAACACTGGTACAGGGTTTCAAAGTGTGTTTTTTTGCATCCTCACAATGCAACACACAGCGACACCATCACATTCAGATTGATGGGCTGCATCAGAGAGACTGATATGAGCCCACGCTGCTATCAGCACCTGCTACCTAAGCCTCTTACAGGAAGCCAACGCTGCATCATGTTACACAAATTTCATGGGCTTTTTTTTAAAACCCACTTTCAGCATTGTTGTCCAACTGCTTTGGGTGACTCACTTAACCAAATGTGAATTCCTCCGCCTCTGAAAATACACCTGGCAGATGAATTATTACCCCTGTTAGACTGTAAAAATAAGCTTTTTAGGAAACTACTGGGCCTTTCAAAGAAATTTAAAGCAAATTGTTAACTCATGAGGAGAGATCAAGGCTGTCACAGTGTTGGTATTGGTCTTTGCATGGGGTTTGTCAGCATCCTTGATGTAGAATATGGATGGACACTTGACTTTATAGCAAAGGCAGAAACTAAAGACAAATCTGTTTTCTGAGTGTCAAAGAGTAATATGTGAGTGTGTTCACATTGACTCTGACTGTCCAGATACAATGCAGAGGCTTTTTCAACTTTTTGACAAGGAAAAATGTTTTTGTTGGTTTTTGCTGTATGGGACCTTTAATGCCACGTGCAAGTCAGTTGTCCAGACAAGCGCCATTTAGAAAGATTTCTAACCTTAAGCCATCAATGATTGGGTCAAGAGCATACACTATAAATCCTTATTTAAAGGCTGGTATTCATTCTTTTGGCCGGGATCTCAAGATTGAGCTGTTCTAATTAATAAAGGCAGGTGTAGCTAGATCAGCTCGGGGCGCGGCGCCTATTGACGACTTAATGGAATATGATTGGCTAGAAGATGCTTCAGATGACGTAGGAGACTCTGGGTGGTCTGGACATTACAGAAGTGGTTTTTGCCAGATTACTTGTCATGAGATTGTAGTTCTTTGGAGAAAACATGGACGAATGCTACAAAGCAATCTACGCTACTTGTCAAAGGGGATGAACGACAGTCAGACTACCGCCTCTTTTAGGTTGCCAAAGAAAATATGGAATAAAAGTAAAACTATCTATTGATAAACAGAGATGCTGTGTAAATCTACTTTTCTTTTTCCTTTAGAAAAGTTAACATATACAATTAAAGCCATCTAAAAACTCTAGTACAGTAAGCCGTAATTCTCTGTATTATATGGAGACAAAATTTTGAGGTCAATTGAATGAAAAAATGGAAAAAAAGAAAACTGCAGGGGGCTTTTAACCGAGCACATCTGACTTATTAAATGGAGTGCAATGTGGTTTGTTCGAGTGGACTTGCCGTAGTGTGATGTCTTCAATAGGCACCCGGCCCTGAGCTGATCTGGCAGCCCGAACACATCTGGGGCCTTGTGTATCAACACTGTTTGCACAAGAAAAACTTGCGTACGCCATGATTGGCACTCACATTCAGATGTATCACTGTGATAAGTTCATCTATTCTTGTGCCGTCTCACGCCAACTACACAGGTGGAAAGCTGATTCTTGCGTTAACTGCAGTCTGGTCTTTTGGTGATGCTGTGTGGCGCTGTTTGGTGACTGTCAGTCTTTGACAACCGTGAACACCTAGCACAAAAAACCATCAATGCAAACACAATCACCGTCGGACGGGCTGCTGCAGAGTTCGGCAGGGGTGCTGCACATTGGCGGCAAGGCTGACACATCAATTTCTATTAATCCAGGCCTCTATTAAACCATTTGTAAGCTGCCCCCCCCAAAAAAAGGTGGTTGTAGATGTCCCCCCACTCTCCTGGCACCCAGGGGTGATGTTAATGAGACCTGAGCCTGGTTTGCCTTGAAGATCCTTAATTCTTGGCATAATATTTAATAAACAACCTCAAATCAACAATGAGCTTATTCTTTTCTGACAGGCCCACATTTTCACACTGTCATAAACATCAGTCACTGTCGGGAGAGAGGCGAAAACCTCTAGTAACACACTGAGGATCCTTTCACACGCACGCACGCACGCACGCACGCACGCACGCACGCACGCACGCACGCAGCAGCGATCAAATGTACACATGGGTACAATAGAAGTGTAACTTCATCACCAGAGTCTTCCTCATTAACACACCTGTCTGACCAAAACAGCCCCTCTCATCCATACAGACACACCTGTGTTTACCAAGCTACGGGATTTACAGCAGCTCATTCCACCACACCACTGTTTAATGGAAATCTGACATTTGCCTCGTCACATCTGCACTCAATTCCACACTGATTGGGGTGTGTCAAGAAAACGTGCATGGATTCCGGTGCTCACACAGATTGATACAGTTTTAGTATAAAATCCACGCAAATATTGATACATGAGGCCCCTGGCTTTCAATTTTCAGTTTCATATTTTTAACATGGAATATGAAAACATTGAAAACAACTTACCAATGTGTTCATGATGATCACCATAAATACTTCCTGTACAATCAGGGGATAATAAAGTTAAAATGAGCAACATCATAGGCCATCTCTGTGCAGTTTGCTCCAGTTTTTCTGTTTATGGTGACTGAGGTTACAGCTGTCAGCATCTCCACTCTCTGCTGCACAGAGCTTCACTGTCTTATCCTAACAGAAACTAAGTCAATCCACTTACAGATTGAGATGGATATATATATAGAGAAAGAGTCCTCTTCATTTTATTCTCCATTCAAAACAGATGTGACAAACTTACCAATTTATAACTGTCTCTCTCAGTTAACAAAAGTTTTAATTCTCAGCTAGTGCATAAAATTCAATTTGATTTGAAAGGGTTATTGTCCATAGAAATAAGATTCTTAACCAGATCAAATATAGGTATAGATTATTGTGGATTTTTAAATTAACTTCTTAAAATAAAAATAAAAAAATAAATAAAAAGACTATATGTAACACACTGAGTTAAATGTACAATTCTGGATTTGAGTGACCAAATTCAGTTTGTAAGTCTGAGAAAGTAAAACAGATGGTTGAACCTTTTTTTGTGTGAACTGATTTAAGACAGTATTGATATCCAAAAATTGTAAGTAGTTGTTATATATCTTTTTTTTTTTTTAAGATATAAAAGTATGTAAAATGGGCAAACAAGTACTTGTGTTTGAGTTTGTGTTCACTGCTGTAGATTTGTCTGCACAGTTTGTGTTTCTTTCTGTGAAATCTCAGACAGTCAGAGCAGCTGGAGAATCCGTCAGTATTTGAGTGTTTTTGCATTTTCAAGGGCTTTTCTAAAATATTCAAATAATCCACTGACTGTGATTTCAGAAGATAATATTACCTGTTATTATCATAAAGATCCACCTGTGTGTAGGAGCTTTGCTGTAAGTGTAGTATGACGAGTTTGAAGTGTGGCGCATTTGAGAATAATTGTGTAGTGACTGTTTAGTGTTTGATAAAATTCATGTTTGAAACTGTTTTTTTGTCAGAAACTGAAGCTGACTCTTTCTTATTTCAAAGAGATATCAGACCAAACCTGTAACATGATGGTCAAATATATGACAAAACAGTATGATCAGAATAAATGTGTGGTTGGCTCTCTTATCGATCAAACAGCCTCTATTACTGCTGTGGCATCACTCAGATACCGTATAAAAACAGGCACAGCCCAAAAGTCAAACCAACTTTTTTAGAGCTCCATCTTTTCACTGTCTGCAGTGGAGGTCATCGACCCCGCCTCCATATTAACAGATGGGACATGGGACAAAGTAAAATCTAAACACACATATAATAAATGTTGCTCAAACATGATTTCTGTCATTATGGTTTGTTTTTATCATGCTGATTTACATCCAATCTCTTCATTTGGCTTTTATTCATAGTTTGGTGTTAAAATGAGCAAGTGTATCATCATGATTAACAGCTCTCCTGCATCCCTCCTCCCCAAAGCTTCCCCAAACTAACAGCAGCAAAAGCTCAACATCAGATAGAAACTTACTGTTTGACTAAAGTGAATCAAGAAATGTCACTTCCATGCTGATGCAGAATCTCCTAACTCTGAAATCCTTAAATTATACAAGGAGATATCTTTAAAGACTCAGTCATCGGAAGCAGCTCCTCTGCGTTTTGACCCTGAAGTCACCAGAACAGCTGCTGTGCCTATAAATCACGTTTGAAATGGTTTTTTGTCAGAAACTGAAGCTGACTCATTCTTATTTCAAAGAGAAACTGTATCTTAAAACAGATCTTTGTTTGTTCTATTGAAGTAAAACAAAGTGCCAGAATAAAGCTCATTTAAAGCTTGGAAACATTTTCAAGCAGATTTTTGAGTTTGCCCAAGCACATATGTATCCCTCCACATAAAGAAAATGAGGAGCTTCTTACTTGATAAATTTGAATTGAAAATGGAAGAGAAACCCACACCGTTTGGTGAGTGGTTTTCATGGATCTGGGTCATGACTCTGATAGCTCCTTCCTGCTCATCAGCAGTCAGCTTTAAACCCTGCCCATGAATATCCAATGAGCACCTTATAGAAGCTGTGCAGTACGGTGCAGAGAAGGAGAGACAGAAAAACATCCTTTTCCTCTGTGAGCAGTATTGTTACACTCCCCTTTAGAACATTGATAGTGCACTCTGTGACAGTCCCGATCTCTGCATGGGCTTCATGTTAAGGCAGCTCCTTCAGTGTGTAGAGGGTACAGTGGGTACAAAACAGTTTGTAACAACAAGCTTGTTTTTAAAATAATTTGAAGAGAAAACAAACAAAGTTTGAGAAGACTTGATGAAGATTAAATCTTGGTACACTTATTTGAAGGGATTCATTGTATTTGAGATGTGGAAGCTTCAGGTCCGACTCTATAATGCTACAACATGTGTTACATCTGTTAAGTGCCTTTTGTATTTATGGAAATACTTAAAAAGCGCCATGAGCGGTACAAATAAAAAACGAAAACAAAAATAAAATAATCTAAGAAAATTCCTAATGCAAATTAAGAATCATTTTTCCAGCATTATATGAAATCCACATCCTTTATACTTGAAGATCTGTTTGCCTGTTTTTCCTTAATCTCAGTATCATCCCGCAGTTTAGAGCCTTTTGATGTTGTAAAGCTGAGCAGCAGGGGGCGTCGGCTGCAAATCTGCCTTCACTGCAGCCGCTGTGTCTGAGAGCGACTTCCCTTAAAGAGTTCATAAATCTGAGAGGGAAAAGCAAAGCAAGCAGAGCTCATTATGGTAATGTTTCTGTTTTTGATCCTAATTTAATCTGACAAGTGGACTTGTTTACATCAAAGATGCCTGAGGAGGGAGAGCAGAGGACATTAATGAAGGGTGCACAAATCAGTCATTAGTTTTTTTTATCTGCATTCAGCCTCAGTGGAGCATATTCATAATGACATTTCAGCATCACAACCATCAACCAGGGGATCACAAGAGATTCACTCAGAAACACTTTACTGACTTGAAATGGAAAAATAGAGAACATTCAAGATTGACACTCCTGTGAGGAGTTTGTAGCTGGTTATGAATTGGACTAATATAAATCCTGATGAGGAAGATTATCAGTTCAGAGGTCTACATGATTATTTTTAATGCCTGAAAATGCTGCTGCTGGGGTAAGTTATCACAAAGAGCAAACTGCAGAAACAAGATACAAAGAACAAACAAATACTCATATACTGTACTGCAAAATGTGATTTTGGGCCCTCTATTTCTGCCAATAATATTGATTGTTGATGATTCAAACACCTTCACTAATCTCTTTACCATTCCATGACATGCAAACATGCCTTTATCTTGGCGTTTTTTCTCTTCTTCCTCTTTTTTTTCTCTGCTCCTGACGGACATGTCCTTTTTTGCAAAATTGTTTTACCCCACAACTACCTGCGCTTTGGATGCTCAGTGCATATTGCACAGCAGGAGGCACATAACGGTAGAGGAGCTTTGACATATCGGCAGTAAGAATCATAGGCTGACATCAGCAGCAGAACTAAAATGTTTTTACTTTATTTTATTTTTATAATAATTTATATTTGATCATACAGAAAGCATTATTCATACATGTAAAAAAAAAAAATAAAAAAAAAAAAAAAAAAAAAAAAAATATATATATATATATATATATATATATACACACTCACCGGCCACTTTATTAGGTACACCATGCTAGTAACGGGTTGGACCCCCTTTTGCCTTCAGAACTGCCTCAATTCTTCGTGGCATAGATTCAACAAGGTGCTGGAAGCATTCCTCAGAGAGCTTGGTCCATATTGACATGATGGCATCACACAGTTGCCGCAGATTTGTCGGCTGCACATCCATGATGCGAATCTCCCGTTCCACCACATCCCAAAGATGCTCTATTGGATTGAGATCTGGTGACTGTGGAGGCCATTTGAGTACAGTGAACTCATTGTCATGTTCAAGAAACCAGTCTGAGATGATTCCAGCTTTATGACATGGCGCATTATCCTGCTGAAAGTAGCCATCAGAAGTTGGGTACATTGTGGTCATAAAGGGATGGACATGGTCAGCAACAATACTCAGGTAGGCTGCGGCGTTGCAACGATGCTCAATTGGTACCAAGGGGCCCAAAGAGTGCCAAGAAAATATTCCCCACACCATGACACCACCACCACCAGCCTGAACCGTTGATACAAGGCAGGATGGATCCATGCTTTCATGTTGTTGACGCCAAATTCTGACCCTACCATCCGAATGTCGCAGCAGAAATCGAGACTCATCAGACCAGGCAACGTTTTTCCAATCTTCTATTGTCCAATTTCGATGAGCTTGTGCAAATTGTAGCCTCAGTTTCCTGTTCTTAGCTGAAAGGAGTGGCACCCGGCGTGGTTTTCTGCTGCTGTAGCCCATCTGCCTCAAAGTTCGACGTACTGTGCGTTCAGAGATGCTCTTCTGCCTACCTTGGTTGTAACGGGTGGTTATTTGAGTCACTGTTGCCTTTCTATCAGCTCGAACCAGTCTGGCCATTCTCCTCTGACCTCTGGCATCAACAAGGCATTTCCGCCCACAGAACTGCCGCTCACTGGATATTTTTTCTTTTTCGGACCATTCTCTGTAAACCCTAGAGATAGTTGTGCGTGAAAATCCCAGTAGATCAGCAGTTTCTGAAATACTCAGACCAGCCCTTCTGGCACCAACAACCATGCCACGTTCAAAGTCACTCAAATCACCTTTCTTCCCCATACTGATGCTCGGTTTGAACTGCAGGAGATTGTCTTGACCATGTCTACATGCCTAAATGCACTAAGTTGCCGCCATGTGATTGGCTGATTAGAAATTAAGTGTTAACGAGCAGTTGGACAGGTGTACCTAATAAAGTGGCCAGTGAGTGTATATATATATAGTCATTTATTTTGTGGGGCCCTAAGCTAGCGCTTAGTTCACTTATGCCTTAGGCCGGCGCTGAGCCAGACACTATATATTATCTATTTACACCCTTACCCTTATAAATATGCAGCATGGGGCCTATCTACCCAAACATCCATGACAGTGACATTAGCACTGGTTTTGTGATTTAATCAGCTTTCACCGTCTCTGCACCTGCGGAATGCAGGCCAACAAAACCTAAAATTTGTTGGAGTACTTACACATCTTAGCATTTTTGATGTTGAATCTTAGTAAATCAGGCTTTTAGTTTGGAAATGCAACACAGTAGGGTTAGACAAAGTGCGTGCTAGGTTGTTCTGCTCTGGTCGATAGCGCTTTGTGATTTTTATCATGTGTTCCTTGGTGTGTTGCTGGTAGTGCTGCTCTCTGTGGTTACTAGCTCTGGCTGCAGGTAATCACACCTGACACATACTGTAGATAACCCTAAACATGTTAGAGATCATCATTCTCCATGTTTTACTTTGGCGAGAGTTTGTCAATGTTCCTGCTGTGACCTACACAGACACTTCCAGACATGACAGGATGGGATATCACATGCTGATGTTAGCTAACAAAATAAAAGCTCTTGCCGAAATGCGACAGGCTGCTTTATGTGCCAGCCCCAGATCTTGAAAATGTATACTGCAGTACATTTAAGTGTTGTTATCTAATTCCACCACTCAGCTCTGTGTCCAATGAAACACTGAAAAATATATATATATCAGTGTTATATGTGTGTGTGTGTATACACACATATATATATATATATATATATATATATATATATATATATATATACACTACAGACCAAAAGATCAGATTTGTTCAAAAAAAGATCATAGTTTCATATATATATATACAGTATATATATATATATATATATATATATATATATATATATATATATATATATATATACAGTATATATATATAATTATTAGCTATTTGAGTTATTGTTGCTTAGACTTTACTTTCTTTAAAGTAACCTTTAGATTTTACAACAGCTTGGCATATACGAGGCATTCGTTTCACAAGTTTTTAAGGTATGTTCCTGGGATTGCATTCCAAGCTTTCTTGAGTTCATTAAAAAGAGACTGCTGATTCGTGGGACACGCCATTCTGACCGATCGATTGGAGAAAGGTCTGGAGACTGAGGGGGCCAAACCATCTTTTGAAGAACACCTTCCTCTTCTTTTTTGACTAGGTAACCCTGACAGAGCTTGGCAGAGTGCTTAGGGTCATTGTCTTGCTGCAAAACAAACTTATGAGCCACAAGTCTGAGTCTAGATGGAACAGCATGGTGCTGGAGGATGGAGTGGTACTGTCCCTTCTTCATGATACTCCTTACTTCAAACAAATCTCCTACTCCATCACCTGCAAAACATCCCCATAACATGGAACTACCACCTCCATGCTGAATTGTGGGTGTAACACATGGTGCTTTCAGACGTTCACCAGTTTGTCAGCGGACATAGACTCTGCGTTTTGAACCAAACAGTTCAAACTTGCTTTCATCGGTCCAGAGAACTTGTTTCTAGTCATCATAAGTCCAATTTTTGTGAGCTTTTGCCCACTCATATCTCTTTCTCTTGTTCTGTGGAAGAAGTAGTGTTTTTTTGCAGATACACAACCCTTCAGACCAGCCTTTCTCAAACGTCTTTTCACCGTTGTCAGAGATATGGGTTTCGACCTTGCATGTTGATTTCCTCCCTTATTTCTGGTGCTGTCTTTTGCCGATCTCTCTTACTGATGACAATGCTATGTTTATCCTCTGCTTTCGTCCTTTTGTCTTTTGTCCAGGTCTTTTTCTATCATCATAACTTCCAGGTTCCTCTAGTCTCTTCAGAGTGTAGTGGACTCCTTTGTTAAACACCTTTAGGCGTTTTGCAATTTCTCTTTCTGTGTATCCTTCTTTCCTCAATGTACAAATCTGTACTTTTGTTTCTTTACTCAGTTGCTTCTTTCTAGCCATTTTTGTGGTAGTTTGAACGTAGTTGGGATTTATTAGGATTTTTCCAAGCAGACTCTCAAAAGCCAAAAAGTTAAAGTGAATAATCCAACTATGATTTGTTTTTTGCTTTTGCACTGAAGTTGTGACTCTTGCAAATGTTTTCGACCCTGCAACTAAGCCCTTATTATCTTTTGCTGACATGTATTTAGCAATGGTCTGTTAACATCAATGTATATCTAAAGGTAAATGGAGTAATATGGTGCATTTCCATAAAAGCAACTTCTGATCATGGAGTAAATACATCCCAAAATACATAAAACTCATGCTGGATTTAAAAAAAAGCATTGTGAACAAAAACTTGAAGTTACTCCCAACTGTTCGGCCTGTAATGGCCTTGCTTCCAAACTTTTGGCCTGTAGTGTAGATATGTATGTATGTATAAAAACAACAACAGAGGCTGATATGTTCATTGAAACTGTTATTTAATCGAGTACGAGTCAGTACCATCAGGTCTTCAGTTTATCATCAACAGTACACGTCTATACTTGTGTTTGTACAAAAAGAGGTATCAGTTATATAAAAACACAGTACACAATAGTTAAAAATGTGACATACACGTCTGAATACATGTCAGCCATACTTCAAGTGTCAGGAATCTTCCTCTGTGTTAACATCAACCCCCTCCTTCTCCTCCTCCTACTCCTCCTCCGTCACTCACAGACCAGGACCGGTGTCATATGACCCGGGGAGTAACCGTCTGCTGGCATCAGGAGTGTTGTGATAAATGGAAATGTGCTATGACTAATAAATATGCTTCCATGCCCTGCAGGTCTTACAAACAGCAGGGGGTGGAAATATAGACCTGTTGGCTTCTGCTGGGTCACGTTAGACACCAAACTAAGACACAATAAATAAGATCACATCAACAGTATCTGTATTAAATATCCTACACATGCAGTTGAATCTGATGAGAAATAAGTTAGAGAGTTTTTCATTGCAGCGACTAAGCGATGATGATGATATGCAGCACCATCTTTCCTCCCAGAACTGAAAACACTCCTCTGATAATTGATCAGTGACAGCTGATAAACTTCTAGGGGAACTCTGCTGTTTGAATTCTGAACACAACTTCTCACACTTTTGGGGTCTGACTAAAACGGATCTGAAGTGGTGTCTTCAGCCTGCAGGAGTGAAGCAAGCTGTAGTGGCTGCAACATGACCTCCACTGCTCAAAGTATGTCTGCAAAAGTTTGTGCTTCTGGTACTAACAGCTTCACACTGGAATATTCCGGCGTAAAATTAAGTTAGGGTCAAACACACTATAACACTGAGTCAGACACCCCCTCGAGAGATGAATGTTGCCGACTGCTTGTTTCTCTAGGTATACCAACTTCAGCATCGACGGCACAATAGCAGTACACAGCGGTCCATGTCTCCACGCGTAAACCCAAACCAAAAAGCCACTCTATAGCCTCAAATAATGCTCACAACAGCACCTGACTTCATTAACAGTACATATAGGGTCCAAGCCACAGAACTAGCCATCAAACATCTTTTTAACTTTGCCCGATGTCTTTAGCAAAGAGACTAAACACAACTCACCCACTCTCCTCCAGCAGCCGCTTGTTTGTGGGGAAGCCCTAATGAGTCGATCACTGAGTGCAGCGGATCAGTTCCACAAAGTAATCATCATTGTATTAATCATTTTGCACTGCAGATGCGGTAGTTTTCCTGCCTTAGTGTCTTGGTCTGATTGCATTTTTATGAAGTGACAATCATAAGTGTTCTTCCTTGAGCTGCGAAACTCTACTGCACTCAGTGACTGACTCGTCAGGGCTCCCCCACAAATAAGCGGCTGCTGGAGGACAGTATGTGAGTTGAGTTTAGTCTCGGCGTGTTTGACCCTAACTTAATTTTACACCAGAATATCCCTTAAAAATTTTCAGTATGTTTATCTATTAAAATAGACCAGTAACCCTCCTGGAATAATTTTACTTTGAAAAACAAAATTGGTAAAGTTGACCTTTTATGTGATGAAAACCACAAGGTTTAGAGCAAACAAGAATTAACAGTGTGTGATAAAGACATTCAGACAAATCAAAAACACCTCCTACATATTGACTCACTAAATGAATTCAGATCAGAGCTATAGCCCATCTATGATCAAAACCTTTAGTTTTATGATGGAACAATAAAGCAACAACAGAACCAGGCTATATAAACCTGGGGAAGAAAGAAAGTGGACTGACAAAATGGGTTTGCAACCTAACTTACCCTAACTGAATTTTACATCAGAATATCTCTTTAAGTGTCTGACAGCATTACAGAGAAAATCCCTACAGAGTTGGACCCCTTTGTTAAACAGAAAGATGACTTCTGTCAACTACATGCATCTCTTCAAAGTCACCAGACTCCAGATCCTGCAGTTCCTTCAGTGTCCACTGGGGGCAGTCTGCAAAAGCTAAGGACCCCAATTAAGACTTATATTCCGTATATACTTATACTATATTTATATTCCGAGTTGGATACGCATACAGATACACAAGAAGTCATCCATACTATTATAAAAAAATAAAATAAAAAATTATATATAACCCTGGAACCATTAGAGTCAAAAGTTCAAAGTATAGACCAGAAAAAAAGTGAAGCATAATCTTATACTTCTTCAAAAGACTGAATTCTCCTCTGCCTCTGATTTTCCTCTTTTAAACAGATACAGAATAAAAATCTCCAAAAGTGCAGCTGAATGTCCTTTTCATCACAAAAACATGATACACAAAGAGTATGGAGGCTGTGATGATTACACTGTTGGAGACACGTGGCTCTATTTTTTAAATGTATTTTTTTGAAGCATAAATGAGTCCTAGGAGATTGAATTAATCATTAATCACATGCATTAAGCCGATTCTGCATGGCTGTATATGCAGAAGATAATCAATTATCACCTTTGTTGAGAGTGTGCGTCTGCGTACACTGCAGAGCTGTTTTTGTGTGTCAGCCCTGCTAAGCTAACATGCAGACAGCTGAGGAGCAACAGACCAGAGCTGCAGGTGACACAAAAAGGTCAAAGTTTGACCGTTTTATCTTTAATAACAAAATTAATGTGGTTCGAAATTGAACCTCCATGTGGGCCTCTGAACATTACCCTACAAACACTGATTCCAATGTGGTTTGAAGTTGTTCCTTTAAACCCTGTGGTACACACTCCAGATATCAACAAGCCTGTCAACAGCTTCTGCACGATCGGGATTAAAAATGGAGGACAAATCGACGGTAACAGCGTGCAGCTACCCTTAAGTCGTGATATCAGATGTGCTGACTTATTTTCACAAATCAAGTGAAAACTGTTATTCATTTATGGTGTGAACACATGAGTCCAGGGAGTCTGGTGACTTGAAGAGTGATGTTCAGACTGTTTCTGGGTTGAAATAAGGAACACGCTCTTTCATACAAAAGAAAGAGTCTTTGTGGCCGATGGAAACATAATGTCATGTCATTCTCTTTATGTCTCTTTATATGTTGTTTGTGGATCTGGAGGCACAGGGATTTAGTGGTTTATTTGATATCTTACTGAGGGCAAGTATGAACTGAACTGATTAATATTTTAGAGATTTTTTTTTATATTCCTGGACAGACTTTTTTACTCACTGGATGTAACTACACAAAACTCTAAGTGATCAAAAAGTTTGACTGAAATAGATTTTTCCTTTCTGCTGATCTTTACGATTTATATTGCAAAGAAACCAGAAACACTAAACTGGAAAAAGAGTGAGCAGAGGAGGACTGAAATGTCTGATGTGTGCACACTGCAGTTAAAGTGGTACTAGGAGGAGTCCTAAATCCAGGTGACCAGATTTTCTTTTTTATGGTGTAACTCATCCAGCTAAATAATGACGTAAATCCAAAGTATCAGACGCTCTCCTTTAAAAACAGGCTCCATCTCTGACGTCCCCTCACCGTCTGTAGTGACCCAAGTCCCGCTGCTCTGTAAACGTACCCATCTCCCTCCTCTGCTGGAGTTCGAGTTGGCGTGGAGAGAGGAGGTGCAGTCCAGGGTTAAGAGGTTGGAGGTCTTACAGCGCGGCAGGAGTGGCAGCAGGCCTTGCTGTAGTACCAGTGGCTGCAAAGGTTCACCTTCAGCGCCAGCAGGCAGTTAGTGGAGGGACGATCCTGACAACTCTCATCTGACGTCCAGAAACCAGACGAAAGAAATTCAGCTCCAGTTAACTTTAAAACCAGAGCTCAGTGTGACTCAAAAAAACCCTTTTTCATATCTGAATGTGTATGTATATGTTTCCTGACTAAAGGTCATCAAAGTCAGCACCTTTCAAGGAGAGAATTCTATATTTGTTTTGTTTTAAATTATAATAATGAATAATGAATAACCACAAATTTTAATTTTTTAAAATGATCTTTCTCTCTATTTTGAAATTGAGAATATTTTCATCTTCTTTAAAAAAAAAGAGAAATTTGTTTGAAATTTGAATTTTATTTTGCATAAATCTCCTGGCAGCATATCAGCAGGTGTCCGAGTCCTTACCTGGCGGCTCAGTGGGGCAGGGCTGCAGGGTGCAGGTCTGTTTGGACACAGGTTTGGTGAGGGGGTCACAGCCTCGGACCAGCTCCCTGCCCTGGTAACACTTCACATCCCTCATCCTGACACCCACACCGCAGGTCTTGGTGCACTGAGGACACACAGAGGCACACACGTGAAGAGTGTTTTTTTTTCTGATGCAAAGAGGAGTTCAGAGCCCAAACTGGAATATTCCTGCAGATATATTTCTGTTTTGATGTGCCCTAACAAAAATCTTCTCTGATCATTGTAAAAATGTATTTAATAAATATTTAAAAAAAAACCAAATATTTCATGAAACTCAAAAAATTCAAATTTATCATTTGTAGGATTTGAACCGCTCTTATCGTGGCTGACACTCAGAGACATCCGGGTCGTTTCACTGCGGAAGAAACCTGTTCCAGGCCCTCTGTGTTTCCTCAGATCTCACCTCAGACCAGGGCGTGGTGTACCACTTGAAGCATGGCCTCTCAAAGCAGGTGCTCTCGTCTTCTGGTTTCTCGCTGATGCCACACACTTCGTCATCATAGATCTGAAACTTTCCTCCGCTGATGCCAGCGCACAGGACGATCCTTCGCTTCACTCCTCGCCCACAGGTTGTGTTACACTTCAGACGACATCATGAAGTCAGCTGTTGTTAAGGGTAGATGATTGTTTTGATTGTAACTGTATATATGACGTGACACGTTCTCACCCTCTCCCAGTCTTGGCTCAGCCAGTGAGAAGCACAGTTCCTTTCTCCACACGGGTAGATGGCGAGTGGCTTATTCTCTGGTGAGCACTGATTCTCAGGGACTACGCGGCCCTCCGGAGCTTTACAGTACACATGACGCACCATCTTGGCCTGGCCGCAGGACCCCGAGCACTGTAAGAGGTCAAAGATCAAACTGTGATGATGAGTTTAGCTGTCAGAAGGTCAGAGTCAGTTAAGGGTCAGAGCTTATGCATTTTTCACGGGGTCCAGGTTGGTTTCTTTTTTTGTTTTTTTACAGGTCCTGTGTGGGGGACTTTGAGGGACATACCTGGTCTGAACATGCCGGCCTGAGGAGATTTTTTAGACCTGGGTCTTCCTCACTGTTGACTTGCCCACAGTCAAGTCTCACTTGATAGTCTGCTTCACAGCTCTGTGGTAGTTTAGATTTCGAAATGGAGTTCTGTTTGTGAAGTGGTTGGCTGCTGCCATCAGTTACAATACCTGCACCTCTAAGCTTTGTTCAATGGCAGCTCAGACTTGAATCTTTAGTCAGATCTTGATCCCGTGGGGCTCAAAGCGCAGCTTACTTTTGGCCTGTCAGCTGAGCCCACTGGGAGCTTTTTGAAGTGAAATGTGATATTCAAACAAGCAGCAATGTCATGATTTTCTCTCATGAAACAGCTGGGAGGTTTGACATGTCACCATTAGTGTCTTTATACTGACAGCTCTGATGAGAATCAAGATTTTTGTACATGGGACTTTCATGTTGGACTTAATGGAGGTAAAACAGGCCTGCAAGTTTCTAGACTTCATCTTTGAAGGAAATTCAGGGACTACATGTATCTACTGAAGAAAATATAGATGATAAATCAGTAAACTGTGCGGCTTTGAAATACAATCCAGAGCACAAAGAGTGGCACGAAAAGAAGCATCAGATGTGCCGTGACAAAAGCTAAAGGTGATCAAACACACCTGTGCTGTCAAAGAGGTTTTTCTGTAGGGTAAAGACACTCACAGGCCCCCACTCTGACACTGTCCAGTGGCGTTCACAGGGTGGACCGGTGCAGTTCTTGATGTTTGGTGGTTTGGTCATCGGGTCACATGGTCTGCTCTCATCAGAGCAGCGGACATCACGGGTTACCTGAGCTTTACGGCCACATTTAGCAGGACACTGCAGTCAAACAGAGGCAGAGAGAAGGTTTTTGAACAGGATTGTATAAACAGTGTCCACAGCTACAGCACCTGAGCAAAGAATCTTTCAGGTCAACTTCCTCATCTGTCACCTGTAATACAGGCTGCAAAGGCTGTAGATTTGTATTGAGCACAGTGAAGAAGACTTAGGCTACCACATTAAGAAAAAAGCTGTAAGATTGTTCAAATGCTCATCAAAACAGATCCTGATGCCTGCAGACGCTAAAACCAGCTGAGGGAAAGATGGGAAGAGACTGTGTGAGCTCATAGTTCAGCAGTTTCATATAAATGTTCCTCAAAAGGAAAAGTGTGGTCTTCATTATCGACAGTACATGGTTAAAAACTTTAAGAGGACATATTGCAGCTGTTACAGACGGTTTCACTGCTGAAAGACAAACTAATTCAGAAGTGAATTCAGAAGTTATTGGACCCCCTAAATGTAAAAGAGCCCAGGACACAAATACACAAATGTCCTCTGAGATATTTACTGCTGAGTGTGTTCTCGCCTGTGCAGCAGCTAGAAAGCCTTGAACTAACTTCCCGACTCAGTCAAAGCATCAGCTGTTGTCTCTGTATTCATCTGTGGTATCATTTTGATTTCATCCTTGTCAAGTTTAAGTCCAGTTTAGAGAAAAACACAAATAGGAGTCTTTTTCACTCTGGGTTTTCAAACACAGCTGCAGGCTACAGAAACAACTTGTGTTTAGTGTCTGCTAAAGTTCTCTGGAGGATCCATCAGTGACCACAATCAGACCACAAGACTGCATGTAGAAGACAGCTGCTGAACCTGAGCCTGAAAGGAGTGAATGAGTGAGAGAGGTAGAGAGAGAGAGAGAGGGAGAGAGGGAGAGAGGGAGAGGGGGGGTAAGAGAGAGAGAGAGAGAGAGAGAGAGAGAGAGGGAGAGAGAGAGAGAGAGGGAGAGGAAGAGGGAGAGAGAGGGGGGGGTAAGAGAGAGAGAGAGAGAGGGAGAGAGAGAGAGAGAGAGGGAGAGGAAGAGGGAGAGAGAGAGAGAGAGAGAGATGTCTGTGCTGCAAGAAGAAAAACTCTGGTGTGAAATAAACATGAATTAAAACAGGTGACAGACTGCTGCACACTTTCATCTTCCAGTCCTGTTTGGTGAAGGTTTGTGTTTGAATCTCAGCAGGGTAAACCATTACAGTCCTCTCATACCTCGGACCACTCAGCCACCTCCCACTGTGGGCCACAGGCAGGACTCTTGCAGGCTCGTCTCTCCACAGGTCTTTCCAGGTCAGCCATGGTGCAGAGGTCACTGTACACCGAGCTGTCCAACCCCGGAGAGAGCATCTTCCAACAGCGGACCTGTCGGAACTGGAAGCCCTCACCGCAGGTCCTGGAGCACTCGCTCCAGCTGCTCGCCTCCCACCTAAGAAACAACAACACAGAGCCAGGGTGTCCTCATAAAAGTGAGATATATCTCATGCAAAGTACTTGGTAGAGGATGTAAATAACTGCTCATAGTTTTGGAGGTTTTGACCTGGGCTGACACTCTCTGCCAATACAGAAGTCGTGGACCGGCTCTGGTCTGGTCAGAGCATCACAGTACATGTCGTGCACTTCGACTCCGTCATAACGAATACACGTGACAAAGGACTTTGAGACCCCTGGATTGAGAGCAGAAAATGTTCAGCTGGAGGTGAGGGAGAAGAATTCACTTAAGAAAGGGAGCAGTTTAATGTCATCTCCAGACAAGAAGAAAGAGAGAGAGTAAAAAGAGAAAAGCTCCATCCTTCTTACAAACTGCACGAACCGTGCAGACTCAAATCACAGAGTACAACTTCAGCCTGTTACAAACTGATGTCTTTAAATATGGAGATTATAGCTGTTTCCAACTCCTGCTCCTTGTACATTCATGGCTGATGTCTGGTGGAAGTGCCGACAAAAAGAGGGAGAGAGATGACATGAAAGGCATCCAAAAAAGGGAGGAAAACCACTGATGCATCGACATAAAAGTGCTCATGTTCAAACCAACCGAAGACAAAGGGGTTGATGCTTATGTTTCCTTATATATATGTGGACATCTTTCATTCTTGCTGTGTTATTGTGCTTGTGTTTTGAAGAAGCTGAGGTTGTATCCACACATACCCAGAAAATCTCCTGTTTTCTAAAAAATCAATGGTGTTGTGGGACATTTCTCTGTCCCTAAGAAGATGCACAACAGCTGGAAACACCCATGTGAGCATGTCAGACTAGTGGTGATGATGTATGATCAGTCTGTAACATCAAACACTTTCAAAGAACATCCTGTGCATGCATATTTAGAGTTTTTTCTTTTTCTTTTTCTTTCCAGCGGGTGGAAAATGTCAGATCTAAAAAAGAAGGGACAGTATTCTAAACTGTTGCAATGACACAATGATGTACAAAGTATTTTTTTTTATGTTTGACGAATCAAAAAACTTTAACGATACAGAACATATATACTGTAAATCCTCAAATACGGGTCGACTTGTGTGCTTGTGCCATTACGTTTGTCACACAGTTACTTTTCCATTACACACAACAGAGATTTTATTTGTTATAAAAGATGCTCTGTGCTCGGTTGTTGCAGGAAAAAAGCTGGATATGAACTGTTAAGTTTGCCATATGTGGACTCCAGGATAAAATGATAAGGACATTTCCTGTCCATCTACATGAGTGTGTCCAAAACCTTTGTCTTAACTGTCCCAACAAATTCATTAAAAATGGAGGCTTCAAAAAGACTCTGTTTATATGAGGACGTAAGACCACAATGTTGAGAAACAGCTGCATGATCACAAATATCCACACGTGAGGAAGTGTGAGTGTGTACCTATGGAGCAGGTCATGCTGCAGGGCTCCTGAGACGACAGTTTCCAGCGGTACATGTCAGCAGCACTCAGCTTCAGGTTCTTCTGGTACAGCCTCTGGTTCCCCCTTTGAATACACACAAAAACCAACACCTGTAAGACAGAGGAAAACTGCACTGGTGCTTTTATTCAGGTTCAGTACATGTGGACAGACAAAACAAACATTGAAGACTTCACACAGACTTTTGCTAACTTCAGCTGGCACTTTTACAATGTTCAGACCAAGTCCAAATGGGCTGGTGGTGTAAACAGAAAATATTCTGCAGGTTTTATTTAGCTGCAGACTTGCAGGTAGTTGATGCTTGGAGTAACCTTCAAAAAGGGAGCAACATCAACTCCTTGCAGGTTTTTAAAGAGACATGTTGTCTATCAAATCCATTTTGCAGCACACTAAAGAACACCCTGAAGCGCAGAGCCTCACAGACACACAGACTTCCGCTCTGTCAGTGTGACAGCTGATTCACGGCCTGCATCCCGGCAGACACACTTTGTTTTTTCATCACTTCACATAAAAGTCATGTGCACATTCTTTACATAACACCGGTCGTTCCCTCGGCCTGGGCCGGCCTCCAGACATTTATTTGGGAATCAGACTCACTCGTGAGTTATACCTCGCCAGCTTCCCTCCATGTCAGCCAGACTAAATCCTGCACATTATTCTCTCCCAGAGGTGACCGCAGTCTAACGGCACACTTTCCCCCTTTGCATCATATTTTCATTTTTCTTGCAAATACCTTGGATTATTTGTTTGTAAGTGAGGCTGTATTCCTGCGCTCTCTGCTCTGCTCGTTTCCTCTCTCTTGGTGTCTCTGTCTCACAGAGGAAAGGGCGTGTCACTGCTGTTTTATGGCTGCTGGCTGCAGGACAGGTGAAGTCGTGTTTGGACACAGAGCAGGAGAGCCAACATGAATTATGAATATGATGAATGTAAAAGCTGCCAGGTCTACCTGTCTACCTGTCTGCCTGCCTGCCTGCCTGTCTGTCTGTCTGCCTGCCTGCCTGTCTGTCTGTCTACTTGTCTGTGTCCCTGCCTGCACAGTATGTCCTCCTCCTGCTTTATGGATGTCAGTTTGTCCCACTTTTAGACCTCTTCTTTGTTAACACATCTTCTCTATGCCTGTATATACTCTGGAGTTATCCCTATCTATCTATCTGAATTTAAACTTCAGTGTGATACAATGTCTTACACTGTTCCTAGAAACAAAAGGCCAAATAAATATGACCTAAGTATCAATACTGTAGAGACCCCCCCAAATGTTCCTCTGAGTTATCAATAATGATGAAGAGGAGGAGTGTGATGGTGGTGTATCTGCAGACAGTCTGATTCCTGTCTGTACTTTCTCATTTTCTTGTTTTGGATGTCTGCTTTTGAGCTCATTGGTTGGTTGAAAAGGGATTGACGTCTCTGTCTGTCCTCTGCTGTTTGTCTACAACAGACACAAACAAGCCTGTGATTCTCTATGGTATCCCAAAGAGAATTCAAAAGTCAGCATTTGTCCACTTGTGTGACTGAGTGCAGTTAGCAGCATGGTGGCTGTAAGAAAGGACGCAGAAGAGAGATACACAACAAGCAGAAAGAAGCATAATTTCAGGAACGAACTTTGAAGAATCAAACAGTTGAAGCTGGGTTATTGAGCCTATTCTGCCTGAACAGAAGGCAGAGGGCCATAACAGCAGACCATGGGCCACCTCCCTTCAGAGGAGGCAGGTGAAGAGAAGAGAGGAAGAGGCAGGAGGAGAGAGGAGAACAGGGAGAAGAGCAGGAAGAGGAGAGCAGGTAGAGAAGCGGGAGTAGGAGAAAGGAGAGCAGGGAGAGGAGAAGGAGGAAGAAAGAGGAGGGCAGGGAGAGAAAGGGGAAGAGGAGAGAGGAGAGCAGGGAGAAGAGTGGGAGGAGGAGAGGAGAAAAAGAAGAGAAGCAAGAGGAGGAGAGGTGAGAGTATCCCTGTTTGCCTGAAAAGCACAGGGAGAGAGTCAGCACAGTGAAAGAGAGGCTGTAGTGAGCGACTGCTCTGCAGATGATCCAGAACACAGCAGCTCATCTGGTTTTCATTCAATCCAAAACAGCTCATGTCACTCTGCTCTTCATCTCTTTCCACTTCTTCTTCTCTATAACAACAAACTGCTCCTGCCTACCTGCAGTCACTCATGCAGGTCTATACTCCCACCTACTTGTAACGCTCTGCCCCATACGGATAGGGCCCTAAATTACAAGCCAGACCCTCCTCTTTCTCCTCCACCAGTGAGAGGAGAAAGAGGAGGAGAAATTCTATAAGATCTGCATCCTCCCCTTTTAGACTCTTTCATGACTGGCTGAAGGAAAAAGTGTCCATACTGTCCTGCCTGCTTCTCAGACCTTGTACACAAATAGATGCAAGATGAAATTGAGAGCTTGGAGCAAATTTCCCTTAACTATAAGCAGATCCAGGGACAGAATCGGAAGTTTTAGGTCCAAACCTAAAACTGCTCAGCCTTTCTGCAGCTGGACTCTAATCTATTTTTATCATGTTAAGATAAGATTCAGAGCGTTTGATGTTCTCCTAACCTGTATCTTGTTGGATTACCTGGTTCTGTTGGAGCGGCTGGAGCTCCTTCCTCCACTCTGCACTGTTTTATTGTGGTAGGAACCGTCCCCGCTGTCGTTGCGTTTGCGCCCCAAAGTAAACTCCAGCGTTTCGTTCAGACCAAAAGCGCCATCTTGCTCCAGGATGCTCAGGTCGACCTCAGCTGGTCCCACCTCTGAAGAAAATAGACTGTCTCCCTCTGTCAGCAGCTGATTGGTTGAGATGTTTATGAGCAGCTCGTCTTGGCCAATTCGCCCGCCCAGCAGGACCCTCCAGATCAGGTTTTGAGGGTCTGGTCCTGGATCCAGAGGTCCAGCAGGAGCAGGGTTAGCAGTGCTGCCTGTGTGGTTGCTGTTTCCCTCTGATGGGTCCAAACAGAAAAATTCAGATATAGCTGGACAACAAACTAATACACAAACACAAAGACATCTCCGTCCGATACTGATGTCTGTACTTTTGACACTGTTTAATCAGAAATGAAGAATATGGTTGAGGGTGCTAAAGTCAGTGAGTGATCAGATGAGCTGTTTCATTCAGCTCTCAGCATCAAGCCTTGAATTTGAGGTCACTCTGTGCAGACAGTGAATGGTGGGGGTCTGAACCATCTCTCCATCTGGTCTCACCAACCTGAGTGGAGGTGTAATGGCCTAGACCGTCAGCTGAGCGAGCAGAGAGCCCGCAGGAAGGCCATTACTGCTCATGTTTGTGCTGCAGCTGTTTTTAACAGAAGAAAACACCAAGGAATCTCTGAATATTTCATCTGCTGCAGATCCTCTTCGTGTGCCTGTGGGATTAATAATGCAGAGATCCAAAGGACCAGCTCTCACACACGCAGAAAAGGAGCTGGGCAGGTAAGGGTTGGATGTAAAACCCGACCTATTTCAAAATTCTTGACAGTGGGCCACAGAGCTACCATCTTATTCAAATTATTTATTTGATTCAAATTATTCATCTTATTCTAATTCAAATGCTGCAAGTCTGGTCTCTCCGTATTATCTGTAGTTTTTGCTGGATTTTTAAAATATTTTTGTTGTCATTTTGTTGGCTGCTGATGGATACTTCTGCTGGGCGAAGAGTTTAATCAAGAGAAGAGCTCCTTTCATTGAGGAAAAGCAAATCTGGACAACAACATACAACATCAGGAGGTGTTGTCGTGGTTGCCGTGCTGGTGCAATGGCGAAGGCAAAGCTGAGTGCTAGGAGGTGGCAATATAAACCCTTTCTTCCATCAGGCATCATGGGAAACGTCAACTCTCTGCCCAACAAAAGCGATGAGCTGGAGATATTGGTGAAGACTACGACAGCATACCATGATTGCAGTTTCCTGTGTTTTACTGAAACCTTGTTGAATCAAAACAACTCGGACTCCAGTGTGGATCTACCTGGCTTCACTCTGACAAGGTCAGACAGAGATGCTCAAGCTTGTGGCAAGAAGAAAGGAGGAGGTCTGGCTTTATTTGTCAACCAGAGATGGTGTAATCCTTCACACATAACTGTCAAGGAGAAGTTGTGTTGTCCAGATATTGAACTGTTGGCTGTTGCTCTTCGGCAATACTATGTTCCAAGAGAATTTAGTCATATCATAACAGTAGTTGTTTACATTCCACCCAAATCAACTGCAGAAATTCCATGCTATGTTTTGCATAATAGTGTTGCCAGGCTACAGACTCAACACCCTGAGACACTAATAATAATACTGGGAGACTTCAACCATGTCCCCCTCTCCTCTCACCTGACTGGATTCACACAGTTTGTGAACTGTCCTACCAGAGAAAACAAAACCCTGGATCTGCTGTATGCCAACGTCAAAGAAGCCTACAGAGCTACTGCCTTACCACCACTGGGCAAGTCAGATCACTCTGCTGTAGTTTTGTCAGCTTTCTTATTTCTAATGTTTCTGATTGTGGTAGCAGAGTGGATCAGTTCTTTTCTAAGGAGTATAATGTTTGGTTTGCAGCCGCAGATTTTAGTAGCCTGAGCTGACAGTCCGCTGTTTTGGGATTTCTTGTATTTTCTTTGAAGACGTGCTGCGTCTCCAAGCGAGTCCGGCCTCTCACCCGAAATGCGCAGCTGTGCAGTGGCACGCAAAGAATTCTGGGACACCAAGGCCACGAAAGCGTGCATAAATGCACGCTTGAAAAAAGGGTGGGGGTAGTGTGGTTTTGAGACCGAATTTGAAGCGCGCTCAGCATTTCAAGCCAAATGGGACACCTTTCGCGCCGCGTGATGAAATCACGCACACTTCAAATGTCTCTGAAATGAGACACAGCCTGTGTTTCTGAGACATTAATGAGCAGTACAGGGGCTCCACAAGGGACAGTGCTGGCGCCATTCCTGTTCACAATGTACACATCAGACTTCAAATACAGCACTGAGTCCTGCCACATCCAGAAATGCTCAGATAACACCGCTATTTTGGCATGTATCAGAAATGGACAAGAAGCTGAATACAGAGATCTGATAAGAGCCTTCAGTGACTGGAGTCACAAAAACTGCCTCCTCCTCAACCCCCCAAAGACAAAGGAGATGATCATAGACTTCTGTAGATCCAAACCCCCTCTTCAGCCAGTGAACACCTGTGGAGTGGACATCAAAGTGGTGACATCATATAAATACCTAGGTGTACATCTGGATAATAAGTTGGACTGGTCTAAGAATATAGACTACATCTACGTAAAGGGGCAGAGCCGTCTCTTTTTGAAGACTCCGATCAATAGACATCTGTAGTAAGATGCTGCAGATGTTTTATCAGTCTGTGGTGGCAAGTGTTCTGTTCTACGCTGCAGTCTGCTGGGGAGGAAACATCAAACACAAAGATGCAAGACGTTTTAACAAACTGGTGAAAAAGGCTGACTCTGTGGTTGGACTCAAGCTGGACTCAGTGGAGGATGTGGTGAAGAGATCTACACTGAGGAAGGTGGAGACTATTCTAAAGAACATGGATCACCCACTTCACAACACCTTAATGGACCAAAGCGCCAATGGTGGTGGACAGAAAGATTCAGAGGATCTTTTGTACCAACAGCCATTAGACTTAATAACTCTTGTGTAAATAGGAGATAACTTTTAGTGACATATTATGTGAGACAACAGACAATTGAATTTCTCTTCAGGGATTAATAAAGTTCTTCTTCTCTCTGTCAGTCTCTTTCCTTTATTCAAAGCCAAGTCTGACTGAAGGAAAATGTGGCACTCACCTCCTCGTTCATCAAAAGTTGCTTCACTGGTTCAGAAACGGCAGATGGGAGGTGGTGAAAAAAGTCCTCACCTTTAAACTTTGGGGCAGCTGCTCCGTCCTGGTCACAGTCGATGGCCGCTGTCTCTTCGTACACCTCATTGGTCTCTTGTCCCTTCTGCAACTCCACATCTCCTCGCTCCATGTGGTCCCTGGGGCCCCCCTGGTCGTAAATACTGCCGTTAGGGGCCAGCAGCCCCCCCAGCTCCACAGAAACCTCTCCGGCTGAGGTGTCTGACCCAGTGTAGACCGGAGGAGGGGGGACAGGGGGCAGGGAATCCCTGAGGACCGTGTACTCATAGGTGATGTATGGTGTGCGGCCATTCTGGTTCCAGACCTGAAAGATGAGAGGAGAGTCTGCTGTGTCTGGCTCAGGTTAGTTCACATGGGGTTTAGTAAAGAAAGAGAGAGAACCAGCACTAAAACAGCTCACACTTGTTTTTCAAAGGAGAAGGAATCAGTGAGGAGATTATATAACCTCAAACCCCCATTTCCTACTCCCTCCACTGTCCTCTGAAAACCAAGGCAAGAAGCCCCCAAATCAAGCTTAGGAAAAATGAAAATGGAAAAACAGAATTTAGAGAAAAAGTGAAAGGGTCTAGGAAAAATCTTAACAGACTTCACAAGGCCCCGGTGTCCCATTAATATTCAGTGATCTGAAATCACTTCAGGTTTTTGCTGTGTCTTAATGCGTTGCTTTCCAACAGAGGATTTGGTGCACAGATCCATTTGAGGTTATATCAAATTTTTCCTTTCGCAACTTTTTGCATAAAAGATCTGGGACAGAGACAGAGGCTTCATATCGCATCAAACCACAATGGAGTACCAAGGAGAGTTGGTCTGAAAACAAATGTATAACAAGCACCCCCTCAGTCAGACAGTCTGGTCTGTGATAAAGAAGCAGTAGGTGAGAGAGGAGATGTAGAGGTACCAGAATATTGATGGCCTGGTCGATAGGGCCTTTGGCGACGATATACTCAATCCCAGTCTCGTACACATCCATGGGCCGGCGGTATTTGAAGACAGTTCCTGCTGCGTGGAAGTTCTGGGGACTGTCCACTTTGTAGGCTCCATTAAAGAAGAAGTTCCCCGCCTGGTCAGTTACAGCTGAAGAGGAGGATCAAGAGCCAAAAACACACTCTGAGACAATAAGCCTCTTTAGTTCATAGATGCTCTTGCATCCTACCGCATCTGTTTTGAGGACCAACACACCCACAGGCACTGATGTTGGTGTAAGTTCACACATATGTCATAAACACTGCACCACAGGGTCCATGATATCCAAATATCTATGAAAGATCTGAAAGGGTTTCGTGTTGCATACAGGTCTTTTCTTTGTCCAAAAACTCACCGAGAACATCAGCTGACTTCTTCCTCTCGATGATCTGTATATCCCATGATCCTTCAGGGATTTGAGTGATAAAAGAGTAACCTTGATGGCAGGAAATAGGAAAATGTCAGTGTTGCTCTGTGATGAATTATACTGTGAAACTGATCCTAAAGGATTATTAAAGCCTAGTAGAGTTTCATCACAACGCTCACCTAGAGTCGTGGCTCCTCTGCGGAAGTTTCCGGTGACCCTGCTGCAGCTGCTGCCGTCCCCCTGACACACCCCACACTTATCCAAGATGTTAGAAGAGAAAAGTACGCCATCACATCCAATTGGCTGAGCAGCAAGGCAGCAATTAGACCGAGAGGACAAAAATGAAAGAAAAAAAAATCACTTGTGTATCATACATGCATTAGTCTTGTTGTGATAATGTGGCTATGGCGCAGAAGACAGTGGTTATAAACAGTCTGTGCCAGGATTCAGGAGAGGTAGCACAAAGACAGCTTAGAAACAGGACAAATCTTGAGTTTGGGTTTTGTTTTGTCTCCTTTCTGTTCAATCCATGTCATAATAATTCAGGTGGTGTCAGTCTCAGGGTCAGTCTGTCAAAGCATTTTTATTTAAACCCCAAACAGCAATCCAGCTTTCATTTTGAGTAGTAAACAGCTGCAGAGCAAAAGTGTCCTCCCTGAGGTTTGGATGGTTCACACAAACCTGCTGTGGAGCTGAAATCAAAGAGTTCAGTGGGTTCAAACAGGTACAAAGTAAAGAGGACACTGCACTCACCTCACACTTACCATCCACGCAGACGCCACGGTAGCTGCTGTACTTGCAGGAAGTGCCGTCTCGTGCCGTCACCATCAGCTGCCTCTGGCCATCCGTGGTGGTGCAGTGGAGGTCGCAGGGGTTACTGGAGATGTGAACGTAGTCATCTAGAAGAACATAGGCTTGATGTAAGCAGCACAAATGATCAAGTAACGCTGGAAGTTAGATAGTTTCTGCCATGTTCTATGTGAGCTTTGCCTGTATTTGCTTTGCTTTTCTCTGCCCATCGGCATTTAAGAGTAGCTCATTACCTTGTGTTTAATTCAAGCTTTTATTTTGAAAGGTAGTTTTAGTAACATGACAGTGTCACATGACAGTCTGATCAGGGAAGCATAGATTCTACATGCCATGTGGCCTGCTTGCAGCTCCAGCTGTGGTCTTGTTTCCTCCTGCTGTTTTTGCCTAGGAAACTATCACTTGTGAGTATTGTTCACATTTATAGTTAATTCTGTTCTTACACAGATTCCTGTAGTGCACTTTTGGGGTGTTAAATAAATGTTCACTTTGTGCTAATGCTAAGTTGACAATTGTGGCTTTTTGCGTTGTCATTTCTGTGAATGTATGATGTTATTTTGATGACAATGCAGTGATTGGTGGTTATTTCTTTGTATCATTTTAGTTTTACCAAAGAGTAGAGAGTCAATCCTGCTTGTTCTCAGCCCCCAGTTCAAATTCAGTATCCCTGATGGTATGGGGATCCTTAGAGTCCAAAGTCAAAGACTTTTTTAGAGAAGACCTTCATATTTCATTAGGACAATGACAAACCACATTCTGACAACAGTGATTACAACAGCATGGATCTGTAGGAGAAGAGTCCTGCTGATAAACTGGTCTGTCTGCAATCCTGACTGTCCACCATTAAAAACATTTGGAGCATCGTGACACCAAAAACAGGACAAAGGAGACCCTGAACTGTTGAGCAGCTGAAATCCTTGATCAGATAGATAGATAGATAGATAGATAGATAGATAGATATATGCCTTTATTAATCCCTGAAGGGAATTAAATTGTTACAGGGCAGAAATCAGGCAAGAATGGGACAATATTTTACTGTCAGACTCCAGAACCTGGTCAGCTGGGTTCACGAAGGTCTAGAGAGCGTTCATAAAGACACACAGCGGAAAACATGTCTCTGTCTGAACACTTTTGAAACATGCAGCTGTCATTAGATTATAGTTATTCTCTTTAGTTTGAAGGTGTCATGTGTTGTCTTTGCTTTATCTTCAGGGAACTGTAGGTCTGAAATGATTTGCAAACTTCTTTTTAAACACTTTACAGTCTTGCAAGCTTTTATTATTTCACTTTGTGGTGCGTTTTTTGTCAAAACTGTGACAAAGTAAGTTACAACAAATTATGGCATTATAGACATTTAAGTGGAAGAAATGTGGGAACCCATTACGCCATACTGGGAAGTGCAATTCTTTTAGAGACACCTAAAAAGGATGCGAAGATTTCTCAGGGAAAGTTGAATCTGAGCAGCTCAGACAGCAAAGACCTCATCACCTCTGCTGTGTTTAATGAGGTAATGAGGTTGTGGATATGTTTTATGGGGTTATTACCAGGATACAGAGGTTTCCACTGGTAGTTCCTCCCACTGTAAAGCTGGGAGTTAAAGGACCAGCACTGCTCCTCTCTGAAGCTCCTTCCAGCGGCAGGGCATTCCTGCAGAGCACAGACCCAGCTCAGTCCAGTCAAAGAGTCTGTTTCACACATTTGTTAAGACTGACTTTTACAGTATGTTATACAAATAAATTCTTTAGAGGCATTTATTTGTGGAGGGAGGGTCCCCGCCCGGCTTCACTTTCTAACAGCTACATACAGACACGCCTGGAGGCTGGTGCCGCCACAGCCACAGTCCTCTTACCATCGGAAGGTTTGTTTGTTTGTTTGAATAAAGATGTTAAAGAAAGTGATGAGAAATTAAGTCTGTGACCCACTTTGGTGTTGCAGAGATGATATTTCTTTGGAGTTCCTGTGCAGGTCATGTTGTCCTTCCCTGCAGCAACTTTCTTTCTTTGGACAGAAAACAAACAGATGGAAAAATAACAGAATTTAAAAAATAAATAAATAAAATAAAACGGCTCTTTCAGGGCAATCTGAAACATAAACAGACAATACCTTCTGTTTCAGTTGTAAGAAACAATTTTGAATTTCCCCTCTCCTTATGAAGTCATCACTGTCCACCTTAGCTGTCTAAATGTGAGTGTAAGTAGCACAGATGTCTGTACATGCATGCACAACTGTACAGGTATGTGCTTGTGCATGAAAATGTGCCATTAAATAATCGACTGTGCATGATCTAAAGTGCATGGTGCATTTAGGAAATGCCTGATAACTATCACATTTTCTGGAGACAAAATACTGCTAAGTAAGGTGTGTTCACAGGTGCAACATGAAGCCAATACATCAATCTCTTCCCTGACTTTTTCAAAATGAAGGTTTTCTCATGCACGCTTTTTCCATTGCATGCAATCCTGTGGGTGTGCGCAAGAGTGCATGTAGAGAGGGAACGTATTCTCCGTCTCCAGCTGAACTTTTTTGCCTGTGCAGGCCTAAAACTCAGTGCTGTTCAGTTATCTGTCTGCAGACAGAGAGATCTTTCACAGAGGGGGGTTGCTGCACGTCCCCGCTGATGAGCTTTGTTAAAACATGCTTGGGTTTTGTTTTTTTTTGTAATTGCATTGAGAGATATAAAAAAGTCAAACTCGGACTGACTGACCTCTGTTTGAGGCAGTGTCTTTCTTGTGACATCACACCCCCTCCACAAGTGCGTGTGCAGGCGGTCCACTTGGCCCACTCCCCCCACCAGTACGTGGTCACCTCCAGCTCTTCCTCCAGACTGTTGGACGCAGCACCATCATCCTGAAAGCACAGACACAGAGTTTGCAGGATCCAAACCAAACTTTCTCAGCAAACTTTGTGGATTTTGGGGACGACAGGACCCGTACAGTCTACTTTCTCACTACTGAGCTAAGCCGGCACCCTGCTGAGTGAAGTACTGAGGGCTTTCTTTCTTTGCAGCAGAGCACTTTTGATTTGATCTAGACAGCGGTAACGTAATAATTTTATCTGATTAACAGGAAGGATTGCAATGCCTGATGGCCAGCTGCTTATTAAGTTTAATTCACCCTCACACTGTTGGTCTCAGAGAGATGAATCCATCAAAATGTGGCCGAAAGACCACAGCAACAACGTCGGCTGTGGGTTCCGTGGTGAGGTTTACGAGAGCCATAACTTCAGTGATGAGGCTGAGGTTACTCAATTCACTTTGTCATCTTTGTGTAAAGTCTGAGCCAGACTTTTGACTCTGTCATTATCCCAAAAATTAATCTTATAGCCAAGAAATTTGCTGGGATGGAAGTTCCATGTCTTTTTCGAGAGCAACTTGGCTGAGGTCACAGCCAGACAGTCACAAACGCATCAAAACTGTCACAAACAATACAGTCATCAGATGAAAACAGATATTTACAGTCTGATCGGGTTTTAGAAAAAAAAAAGCTGCATGCTTCGGTCACCACATCATCTATAGTATACTTCAGAGATATGAACATGTCTAAATCTCAAAACTCTGGGTACGGTGAAGAGCAGCAAGAAAACTGGTGCAGAGAGAGGCGTATAGGAAAGATGGGAGATTTCCAAGTGCTGCTTTGTAGATCTAAATATTCTGGTGTCGTTGTCCGCACTTTGCTCTTGATGTCCAACCCCACAAATCACTATGAATACAATGGTGTGTGAGGGATTTATCATTAGTAACGAAGCAAAGAGATGCATGACACTCAAAGGTTCAACCTGACTGTAGCAGGGCAGATAGGTAGGACTGTAGGACAGTAGAACTGAAGCTGTTCAAAGATTGCAGGGAGAAATCTGTTTATTTCAAACCTGGTTAAGATGATCATTTAAGAGGCCAAAAACCTAGAAAATGTTTTACTTTAACAAGTGAAGTTCAGGTCTTTCTATTTCTCTTTTGTGTTGTTGGAACTAGTTTGGGGCTTTTATTTTGAAGGCAGGTTTGCATGCAGTTTTTGTTCATGGAGTTTGGAGGCTGCAAGGAGAGCGACTGAAAGGGTTTTTGTTTAAAACACGTACCTGAGAGTACAAAGGTCTCTGTACATGGGGTTTCTTTGGTAATGACGTTTGTACATAAATGTACTTTGAATCCATTTACAGTCTGATTCTCCAAAACTCTAAGTATCTCTTTGAATCTAAAAGTGTGCTTTAGTTCTCGTGAACGTAGCCCTTATAACAGTCGTGTGATATTTGTGGAAGCAGTGGACGTATGAGGAGCAGAAACAGCATTTTGTTGTAGTTTTAGGAGTACTTTGGTACCATGAGTAAAACCGCTGTACAAACAGACAGACTGTCAGGAGAACAGAGTGTGTCAGGGTGACAGTTCGTGTTTTGTGCCACGGCTCGAACGTGAAGACGGTCAGCATTTCACACATTCCTGATGCTCAGCTGCATTAATTCAGGCCGATGGCTGCATCCCTTCATTCAGACAGATTCATCAGAGTGACTGCTGGAATGTGCACAGAGCTCCTTGTAAAGGTGCGAGACAGAGCAGCTGTGAGATAGGGCGAGAGTCACTGGAAATACCAGACAGAAAGCGTAAGTGATGTGTATACAGTGAGCGAAGAGTGAGACAGGATAGAGTAAAGGAGGAGAGATGGTTCTGATCGGCAGTTTTCACTAAAGACTAACCTTAGACATTTTTTTTTAAAAGTCCCTCTCCTTCAAAATAAAGCCAGTATGCCCAGACATCCTCCGGAGCAGCATTTTCATCTCCTCCCGGATGATCCAGAGGAATTGAGCCCTTTGACCTCTTACATTTGATCACAGACTAAACCTGCTCTCCTTTCAACTCCTGCTCCTCTCCCTGCTCCCCTCTCTCCTGCTCCTCTTCCTGCTCTCTCCTCCCCTGCTCCTCTCCCTGCTCTCTCCTCTCTCCTCCTCCTCCTCCTCTCTCCTCCACTGCTCCTCTCCCTGCTCTCTCCTCCTCCTCCTCCTCTCTCCTCCCTCTGCTTCTCTCCCTGCTCTCTCCTGTCCCCTCCTCCTGCTTATCTCCCTGCTCACCTCTCTCCTGCTCCTTTCTCCTTCTCCTTCTCCTCTCCCTGCTCTCTTCTTTCTCCTCCTCCTGCTCCTCTCCCTGCTCTCTCCTCTCTGCTCATCCTCTCTCCTCCCTCTGCTTCTCTCCCTGCTCTCTCCTGTCTCCTCCTCCTGCTTCTCTTCCTGCTCTCCTCTTTTCTGCTCCTCTCCCAGCTCTCCTGTCTCATCCTCCTGCTCCTCTCCCAGCTTTCTCCTTTCCCATACTCCTGCTCCTCGCCCTGCTCTCCTTCTCCACCTGCTCCTTTCTTCTTCCCCTGCTCCTCTACCTGCTCTCCTCTACCACCTCCTGCTCCTCTCCCTGCTCTCCTTCTCCTCTCTTCTCCTTCTCCTCCTCCTGCTCATTTCCCTGCTCTCTTCTATCTTTTCCACCTGCCCCCCTCCCTGCTCTCATTCTCTCTCTGCTCTCTTTTCCCACCTCCTGCTCCTCTCCCAGCTCTCCTCCTTCTCCTGCTCTACTTTCCTCCTTTTGCTCCTCTCCCTGCTCTCCTCCTGCATCAATCTTTGTCTGCTCCTGCTGTTCCTACTCCAGTTTACACAGTGCTGCAGGAGCAGTGGAGATCTTGGTGGTATTTTTCAGTCACATTATCAGATCTTTTCTTTACGTGTCTCTTACCTGCAGCCCCCTAGTGGACAGGTTCCCCACAGAAACTGCAAGTGTCAGGAAGCCCAGCAGGACCACACCCGTCTCCCCAATCTGTTCCAGTGGCCACACCTTCATCCTGGTGAACCTGAGGGAGACAAAGGTTACTTCCTTTACCTCAGAAGACCTAACAGTCCTGTTATGTTTTTCTCTTAAACACATTTACTTCATAATAAAAAAAAACAAACAAAGCTGATGAAAACTCTGTCAGTTTGCATTTATTACATGCATGCTTAACCCCCTCCCCAAAATGCTGACTTAACATTTTGGAAAAAGACACAAACTCAGAGGAGTAAAAAGTGAACACATGCTGTGATGTTTCTGTCTTTAGTTTTAGCTTAAGTCAATTATCCCTCAGAAATGAGCAACTTCTCCAGAACTGGCCACTAAGATGTGCAGTAAAACTTACAACACTCCTCACACATACAGAGCAGCCAAACTTAAGATTTAAAGAGAGCTCAGGCCACAAATCCGTCTGTGTTTCTCCACTGAAGCACCAAGTGAGGAGTCTTTAACAAAGGCTGAAGGGTATATAGGAAATATCATGACCACTAATGAGATCTTGGGGCATAAAAAAACCCCACGTCCAGGCTCTTAAGTGAATTGTGGATGAAGGCATGCTGCAGAGACGTGTGGGTGTTATTTCATGTCTTTTCCCCTCTCCCAAATTGAGGCTTCTCAGCTTCCAAACCGACAAAAGGGCCTGAAGTTGGATTTTTTTTACACTCAGAGAACACATTTGTGGTCGTAATATTTCCTTTCTGACTCTCAGATAAAATCCTTCACTTCCAAGAACATCTGTGGGTTTTTTTTTTTTTGGGAGGGAAGATACCTGAAACTCTGCCACTGACAGCTACCTTAATGCAGCAAGAAGGGGGTCTGACAGTAAGAATCGAGGGTATGTCGCAGACTTATGGAGACGAGCAGAGCGGCATGTGGATCACAAGTCTGGTTACTTTCAAAATATTTAAATTCAGATTATTATTCAATTGTCTGACAACATATCAGAGGGGCTGTTGAACACCCAGCAACTATTTCCAGCTCCTCCTGGAGAAGTCCACAGTGATCATGGGCCAGATGGGATATATAATCCCTCCAGCGAACTCTGGGTCTACCCCAGGATCTCTAAAGGGAGGCACCCAGGAAGCAATTCAACGAGTCAGTGGAACTATCTCAGCTGGCTCCCTCTGATACAAAGAAGTAAAAGCTCTACGGTGAGGATCGAGTCAAAGAGTCGCTCCTGGTCAGGTGATTTTTATTAAATGAGTGAAACGACCTGAAAGTCTGAGTGTGGACCATGATAAGACCTGTTTGGATTCTCCTTTATTACCTCCTTAGTGGAGGATGCACCGGACCACCCTTGAGGAAAGGAGAGAAGGACAAATGACTCATAATTCTGTTTTGATGTTAATAACAGAAAATGATTGTTTGCCCATCATAACTTGTAATAAATAAATATCATTTTTATTTGCAGCTGAGTTAGCTCCATGCATTAACTTTGAACTGACAGTGAGACAGAACCATGTGGAGACTGAGAATATTCACATTTGAAGATACAAGGTGAAATGAGCAATATCTTTAATTTATGTCAAGTTCACACCTTTGTCTTCAGATGAAGCCATTGAAGGAGCTCCACTTCAGCTAGTTCACAAACAACAAAGATGGCAGCTTCTGTTGCTGGAAGGTCAGCTGAATCCACTATGGCGGCTGCTCTAATAGCAGGGGAACTTTCATATTTCATGTGCATCCTCTGCTTGGGGCAGCAGCAGCTCAGGAGGTAGAGCGATCGGCCAATAACTGGAAGGTTGACGGTTCAATTCCCCCCTTTTCTAGTCTGTCTGTTGTGTCCTTGGGCAAGACGCTTAACCCACCTTGCTCCCCGTGTGTGTCCTCCACTGGTGTGTGATTGTGTGTGGTGGTGGTCAGAGAGGCTGTAGGTGCAAACTGTCAGCCATGTTTCCATCAGTCTGCCCCAGGGCAGCTGTGACTACTAAGGTAGTTTACCACCTCCAGGGTGTGACTGTGTGAGCAAACGAATGATTTATCCAAAGTAAAGCGCTTTGAAGTCATTGACTAAAAGCATTGTAAAATCTGATGCATTATTATTATGTGACTGTTAAATGTAATAATAATGAAAACAAGCGCCCTACTGGGCACTGGCGGGCCCTAGCACTGTATAGTAACAGTTATAGATCCATTCATCATTACATTCACTATGCAAAGACACATTAAAAACCGCTCAATATGCAGCTACAGAAGTTCTGCAGTGTTCAAATGCTGCTAAACAGAAGTTGTGATGTTATTGAAAAGGATATGATCAGGTGCCGTATGAACGTTTAAAATTTTTTGACAAATAGATATTTCAACGTTACTCTCTGTTTTGGGCTGATGCAGATCACATCCCTAAGCCTCTGTTGGTTAAGGGGAGATCCTGTATGAAAAGCTTTAGTTGTTCATGTTACTGATAATGGACAGGCCTTCAGCACCCTGATCCTGGACTGTTCCAGTGCACGGCTTCACATAAGTCCAAACCTCTTTTAATAATGTTTGTGACCTGCTTGTCTTTCAGACATAAAATATGTTAAAATACAGATTCGTGAAGGACAGAGTTTTAAGAGGGGAAGACCAACACGTCTGAGCTCTCTAACTTGCATGACCTCATTTGCCTCTTTGATACTTTTTTACTTTTTTACACCCCCTCCCCTTTACAACCCTCCTGTCCTCAGGGACTCGTCTGTCTAACAGCATCCTCTCTGCGCTCACATAAACAGAGTTAAGTGTTTATAGAGCCCCAGCCTGACTAACATCATTGCCTAAATTACATTAGCTGTACCTTAAGAGTAAAAGGCTGGTAGCAGAAAGATGTTCTGGATTACAGCATCAGGTGATCTCTGATTCAAATGTAAGCCAGTACCAACTGTCAGCTTTCCAAACACGTCAGAGAAACGCCAGAACAACAGCGTTTTCTCAGACAATGCACGCCAACGCCAAAGCTGCTCTCAATGTGTATGTGTGTGTGTGTGCGTGCGTGTGTGTGTGTGTGTGTGTGTGTGTGTGTGTGTGTGTGTGTGTGTGTGTGTGCGTGTGTGTGCTGGCAGGCTGTGGCAGGCTGGCGCTGGCAGGTGGAGGGTGACACAGACAGACTGCTGAGAGGCCTCAGGTGTTGGAGAGAGGAGTTGGACAGCAGAGGGGCCTGTGTAAAAGTTAAACAAGTCCCAATGTGCTGGAAGGATGAAGGTAAGTTTCCTATAACTTAACACAGGTAGGCCTTTGTTTGGCTCCTCAGACTGTGAGGAAATGTAGATGTCTGCATGTACAGGCTAACGTAAACCGGCACAGACTCACAGGAAAAGGAGGGTACCTGAAGAGCTCAAGTACCCTCCTTTTCCTGTGCAGGTTTGTCATACACATGAGCTTAAAGACACAATGAGGCCTTTGACTTTCAAGAACACTGAACCAAAAACCTGCTCTCTGAGGACAGAGCCAGTCCCAAACAGCTTACAAAACTGTGGGGAAAAAAGGTCCAAGCTGTCTTGAGTCATGTATTTATTGTCTAGACATTCAGATAAAATCAAGGAGTTTCAGGCAGTGGCTGATGCAAAAGGATGAGCCTTAATCAACAGGAATCTAGTTTCAGACTTACTGAAGAGTGAGCCTAAATAATGCCTGTTTGGAGCAACAAGATGCCAAAAGGGAAACTTTGTAGCCCAGAAATAAATGCCAACAATGCTCAACATGAGCAGCAGCCTCAGTGCTGAAAACGAGGCAAACATCAGCATTAAAGGGATATTCCGGCGTAAAATTAATTTAGGGTTAAACACACCGTAACAGCAAGTTAGACACCCTGTCGAGAGATGAATGTTGCCGACCTCTTGCTTCTCTAGGAATACCAACTTTAGTTGGTTACCACGGGATAGCAATACACAGCGGTCTCAGGAGCCATCAACAAACCTCAGCCAAAAAGCCACTCTATAGCCACAAATAATGCTCAGAACAGCACCTAACTTCATCAACAGTATATATAGGGTCCCAGCCATAGCACTAGCCACCAAACATCTTTTTAGCTTTGCCTAATTTCTCTATTAGAGACTAAACACAACACACCTATACTCTTCCAGCAGCCGCTTGTTTGTAGGGAGACCTCAGACGAGTTGATCACTGACTGCAGCGGGAGGACGCAGCTCAAGGAAGAACATTTATGATCATTACTTTATCATTTCCTTGAAGTAATAATCATCATATTAATCATTTTGCACTGCAAACGCGGTAGTTCTTCTGCCTCAGCATCTCGGTCTGATTGCCTTCTTCCTTGAGCTGTGTCCTCCCGCAGTAGTCTGTAATGGACTGACCTGAGGTCTCGCTACAAACAAGCGGCTGCTGGAGGGGAGTGGGTAAGTTGTGTTTAGTCTCTTTGCTAAAGAAATTAGGCAAAGTTAAAAAGATGTTTGGTGGCTAGTGCTATGGCTAGTACCCTATATGTACTGTTGATGAAGTTAGGTGCTGTTCTGAGCATTATTTGTGGCTGTAGAGTGGCACTTTGGTTGATGTTTGTGTATGGCTCTTTAGACCGCTGTGTATTGCTATCGTGCGGTCGTTACTAAAGTTGGTAAAACTAGAGGGGTAAGTGGTCAGCAATATTCATCTCTCGACAGGGTGTCTAACTTGGTGTTTGACCCTAAATTAATTTTACGCCCTTTAAAGCTGCAGATCTAAAAACTTCCAAGTCCCATTTTGAGGTACTCATTCATACAGCAGAAGGAAACAGGTTTTCAGCCTGGTTCAAAAACTATTTTTGGACATGCAGACCATTTAATTATCAATACACAACGTTTACACAATAAAGCAATGGCTGATTTGACAGGCAGGTGACCTCATCATAGCTGTTAGCGTGGTGGTTGAACTGGCTTGAGAGTGCATGCTCCACAGTTTGCACACAGTCGAACAGCATGAATGTGTAAGAATGGAGTTGAAACCATGGCTCAGCTCCACTGTACATGTAAACCTGCAGAAAGTCTACAGCTGCCATCAAATGGAATTCTTGAAGTCATTAAGTGGTAAAGCCCATGTCGTCCACTTTCATCCAAATCTGATCCATTACTTACTGTGACTGACAGGGTCTGTGGTTCTTACTTTTAGACTGGCTGGATGGTCTGATTAAAATGACTGTTTAGCTAACTGGAAAGTGATATGTCTCATAGTTCTTTATCATTTAGAGCTCCTTAGGTGAAGAGGAATCCAGGATTGAAAGTATGATTCACATTTAAGATAAATTTGCATGCACACACCAAGAAACCAAAATTTTGATGAGCTGCAAAGGAGAAAGCGGCCTTTCAACTGACATGCATGCATGCATAAAAATATATGTGATAGTGTATTCCCCCCCAAAGAGAAATCCTAGTGTGTTTGTTGAGAAGAACTTTCTACAAAATTTGATCAAATTTTGAAGAAAAAAATGGTCGAAATATTCGACCCTCGAGCGAGAACCTCAGGAAAACATTCTTGGCTGCAACATCTGAATCAGTAAAAGACAGGAGGCTCCATGCTGCACATTCACACACATATTCTCACACACATCCTAAACCACACACACACACACAGACGCAGAGACAGACAGAGCTTCTAGGAAAAGCTTCATAGTACATCCCGTGTCCTCAGGTCCAGTTAGGCTGCCTTGTTAAAATAAGCAAACAGCTCGTCTCGCCCTGTTTGCAGTCTGGCTTTCTCTGGCACTAAATATTGGTGACAGGTGTCTTAAAGCAGGCGAGGCAGCACCTGGACTTCATTATCCAACCAGACACAGCTGGAGCCCGGCCAGCTGCCAAACACACACACACACACACACACACACACACACACAAAGTCAGACACAGCAGCACGTGTGTATACACTCAGCCAGTGGCGTGACTGAAACACACACACACACACACACACACACACACACACACACACACACACACACACATACAGAAATGTTTCCCACCGTGCACGCTCATGCTGAAGCTTCAGCTGTGTGCACACACAGGTATGCAAACACTCCAACATGTTAAACGTTCATACTCTGCTGACACAATGCTCATAATACTGACCTCAACTTCAAACGTTCTGAGACTGAAACTCAAACTTCACTCACATGATCAGCTCAGAGTAATCTTTGTACTCATCAGCAGTTATTGTCTATCACAGATTTTCCGCAAACTGTCCAGAAACTCTGTTGGAGCCAGCAGTTAACGTCAAACAACTTCCAGCCATGACTCTCTTTCCAATGAAATATCTGCAACACACTCCGCACCATTTCTTGGTTTATTGCCTCCTCTAGTGTAGCACCCATTCACCTGTTTCTTGTACTATTAGGTCCTGGTTCAACACATTGGCTGAAGAGTACAGAGAATGGACATGGTACCCTAATTTCCATTGAGACGTGAGGCCAAACGATCGCCTCTTTGAGCTTTGATATATTGTCCATCAGATCGCTCCTTTTGCAGGTACGCACAGGAGTGATCTGTCTGATCTGTCTGGTAGTATTGTAGGACTGATGTCACAAACAATATCTATAAGTATATTGAAAGAAGTGTATGCTCACCTGAATATTTCAATTATCTTGTTTTTGTTCACTTAATGTAAAAACTCGACACAGGAGCAGGTCCCTTCCACTGCATTGCACCACCATGTTCCTACAGTAGCTCAGAATATTATCAACAGTGTTTTTGTATACGGCAAGTGGTGGTGAGAAATGAACTGCCTGAAGAAGAAGAGAGTTACTGTTTTCATTCACAAAAGAATTAGATTTTCATGGTAAAGAACTGAGAAAGGAGGATTAGACTTATCATACCTTACAGAAGACTTTTGCTCTCGAGGACAAGAGCATTTAAGGAGCATTTAAGTCGAGGACATGATTATATATTGTATAGTGCCTAACATCCTATTGCTGCATACCTTTAATCCTGACTCAACCAAATGTCCTCATGATATTACACTGAAGTAATGAAGGTGAAGTAACCACAAAGATTTTAACAGTGCATTTTGAAGAAAGTTAAATCATAGCACTACAAGATAAAGTAGTTTGACACTGAGAATAAGAAGTCTTAGTGATATGAAAAAACAGAGAACTGTCTTTTTTTTCTGAACATTGTCCTCACAAGATCAGCTAAAGGACGCAAACATGAAGAAACACACCTTAAACATCTGTATGCCTGCAAAACACACACACACGCACGCACGCACGTACACACACACACACACACACACACACACACACACACACACACACACACACACACACACACACACACACACACACACACACACTCAGAATCAGCCTGTTGCCTCTCACTCATCTAGACTTAGTCTTCTTGCTCCTCCTTCTTTCTCTCTCTTACTCTTTTGCTGTAGTTTCCCAGCCAGTCAAGCAGGGAAGGGCAAAAGTAAACACCCTCCCCTTGTACTCCCTTCCTCCCCCTCTCTCACCCTTCTTCTGTCCCTACCATGACGGACCCCTGGGGCCTCTCGCCTCACTGTCTTGTTTTTGTAGTGCTGGCAGCCTCAGTAGACAGACAGACAGATAGCAGCAGTCTGTCCGTCCTGGGACAGCAGAGGAGTGAGACTGATTCATCAGACTGATACTGACCGTCTGCTAACACTGAGTATCATCCAGCACCTGTCAGCCACCTGCGACATGAAGATCCATGAGTTTGAATGAAACATTTTCAGGCTCTAGAGTAGGTTTAAAAAAGTCAAATCAAAGTTGATTCCACACATAAACATTGATGATCAATTTTGGGGTCATTTATCCATCCAGGAAAAATCCAAAACATCTGCTGCAAACTTAATCAGCTGTTTTAGAAGGACTCACAGTTGGTCAGATTAATGCAGCGTGTGACGTAGTGAACTGGGTGGAAAGAAACTTGTTCTTATCAAACAATGCACCACCTACAGCTGTTTATTCTGCTTCAATGAAAATACGTCCATGAGTTTGTTTACAACAGCCACATCAGATTCAACAGACCCCCATGTGCTGGAAGCTGCTGTTTGGTCATTACCAAAAGGCTGAAGTGACACCCCTGTGATGTCATCTTTATAGACCCCACCCCTTTTGTAAATGCAGGACTATAATTGGGTCAGTGTGTCTGACACAGAGAGGAAATCACCTCTAATATTTAGAATAGTTGACTCAGCCCTGCGCTGCTTGGTTGTAACACCATGCAATATGATTGGCTGTCTGCAAGTATGATCATACTTTCATATTGCGACTGGTTGTGTGTTGAAGATTTTGCAGATGTAATTTCATGCGTTGTAGTTTGTCCTTGTGGAGTTGCCATTTCAGCAGGTGTAGGACCATGAGCCAATCTGACCACCATAAAGACCAGAAGTATTACATTTGTCATCATATTGCAGGTCCATCCCAAGACCCGCAAGAGACGTTTTCATATAGGAAAAAAAATAAATAAACTGTATTTATGGCTTTTGAAAGGGGAACATATACAAAAATTAAACTAAAGAAAGATTCAGTTTGGGATTTAGTGGGAGGACTTTTGTTAAAGTCATCAAGAACAAAGTAATTTGTTCTTTATGTTGAGTCTATATAATTCATTTTATAAAGCAGTGACTATACACTGCATTGCTGATCTTGGACATTTTAGTTTTCTCTACCTGACTAGCCATCTAAGCTAACATTACTCTTGTGGAGGGTAAAGTCTCAATGTTTAGGTCTCATGAGTCTGCAGATGCAGAAAACAGATTGCAGGAAAAAACATAACTAAACCTCAGTCAGTTGGATCACAACTTTGAAAGTGGACCACTAACAGGTTGTAAGATACGTTGACTGAACTGGGGTGCACTCACATATTTACTGTTAATATAAATCCGGTAACTAAGTTGGGACAGTTAAATTTGATTTGAAAAATCAGCATGAATTGCATGTTTCTCCCTTAATCAGATGACTTTTGAAGACATGAGTAGGACACAGCTGCAGAAAATGTTCCAAGACTCGACAAGAGAGGTTGCTGCACTAATTTGCATAACTCAGCTGAGAGATTGATGTTTTAACAGTTCAGACATTTTTGTTGATTAGATTTGTACAAAACCACTGCATGTTTTTCACGACTGAAATATCTGAGACAAGAAAAGTGGTGTGACATGTTGGTGGTTAGGGTGTCTGTCTGTCCTCTGCAGCCCACAGCCCTCAGACGATAGAGGGGAGGGAGGATGGTGTGGTTGTGGATGTCTGCTTGTCCTCAGTTTTTTACAGAGCCAAACTCTCCTTCTTTATTCAGTCTGAAGTACATGTGCAAAATGGAAAGGAAAGGGGAATGGATTGGGGTTTTATTGCCTTCTTGTATGCAGAAAAACTACCAAGGGAGCCAAAAGACAGACAGATGGGCAGACAGATGAGGAGATGAAGAGGGAGGATGACGGCTAAGAGACAGAGTGAGAATGAGAAAGAAAAATAAGCAAAGACTCAAAGGACAGCAAGGAAGCCGGTCTGAGAACTTGAGGAGAGGTCAGTGGAGCTTGGTTGCCCCCTGAGGCAAACAGAAGCTGGGTAGATTGCTTGCACTTAAACTTTGACCTATTTATTGACTTGCCTTTCAGGGCTGGGATTCCCAGAAGAACTAGCGGGCTTAGATTATCTGTGTTTGGGTCTCTCTGGTAAAAAATGAGAACACTCGTGCAGGTTTTGTAAAGTCAAGTGAGTCTATTAGTGGTTTGTCTGACCACTGACTTCTTGGAACAAGACTGCAGTTTAACAGCACACGGAGCTGCTGCTCTAACAAAACGGCACATACTCAACCCCTTTACCTTACAGACTCCTTAATGACTGCAGCCTCTATGTATTTATCTCATGTTAAAACAGTAGAAGAAGGAAATCATGTAACAGTCAAGGCTTCATGAGAGAAATAAGCCACCTGTAGAAAATCCAGCAACAGAGAATCCAAAGAGAGTTTTTATAGATCACCTCTGAGCTGAAACACTTGAAATATGCATGGCAGGGACATGGTTTGCAGCAAGGTTGGACCATTTCCTACCTCAGACGTAAACTATCCTAATCAATTCAATTCAATTCAGCTTTATTTATATGGCACATTTAATACATAAGGAAATGCAATTCAAAGTGCCTCACAGAGGCTATAAACAACAACGAAGACAAAAACCCAACTCTTCCACCCACACATACACCCATGGACCCACACGCACACAAAGACACCCACCCACCCTCACTCACCCTCACATACACACACACACAACTGCACACAGTGTGAGAATTTACAATATAAGCTAAAGAGACATGGCCTGACACCGAGACATTACATGAGGAAAGAGCTACCTTTAGGAAACACTGGAGATAAAAATAGAGATAAAAATGGTGAAAAGAGTAAAACCTGATGGACTAAAATAAGAAAATAAAATTGTTAAATGAACAAATAAATAAAAGGGGTAAAAGAAGTAAAAACCTGTGACGGGAAACTTTAAAAAAAAGGGCTAAGAACAGAGATAATGAATAGAATGACATAAAATAAACATTAAGAAGAGAAATCTAAAATGGCAATAAGTAAAAAGCCTGGTTAAAAAAGTGAGTCTTGAGCCTCTTCTTAAAAATATCAACAGTCTCTGCGGCCCTGAGGGTCTCCTGCAGGCTGTTCCACAACTGGGGACCATAAAAACTAAAAGCCGCCTCCCTGTGTGTTTTTGTTTTGACTTTGGGTAAGGTTAAAAGGCCTGTGCCGGAAGACCTCAGGGTCCACGAGGATTGATATGGTAAAATTAGATCAGATAAATAGCAGGGGCCAAGACCATTAATACATCTAAGAACTAATAAAAGAACCTTAAAATCAATCCCGAAACTGACGGGGAGCCAATGCAGCGATGCTAAAACTGGCGTTATATGCTCTCGCCCTCTGGCCCTTATCAGCACTCTTGCAGCTGAATTCTGTAAAAGCTGAAGTGTATGTAAGTTCTTCTTTGGGAGGCCAGAGAGCAGGGCGTTACAATAATCTAAACGTGAGGAGATAAAAGCATGCATCAGCACCTCTGTGCTGGTCTGAGAGAGAAACGGACGGACTGTGGCTATATTCTTAAGGTGGTAAAATCAGTGAAAATCTGTCTGAATCTTACTGATCACTGCTGCTTTCTGTGCTGATTTCAATGTAGATAGAGTTGTTGCACACTTTTAAAATCAGATTTATCTGATCCGAATTTTGAGGCTGATGCTAGAGGTTATATCATGAGAAGACTAAGAACAAATTGCATTTCTGAGTATTATAGCATTTAAATCACTGTGAACCTCTCACAGACCCAAACAGCAGGTTCAGACACAGATTTTCTACATCACAAGCCCATGTTCCACCCCCGGCGCCCCACTCTGCAGGCCAGACTCTGAGAAAAAAAGAGGATGATGGTGGAACAAGTGTGTGCGTTAGCAGATTGCAATGCTCATAAGGAGGCCAATTATGATATAACCTTCCATCATATCCCCAAAGACATTAGTGTCTGAGAGCTGAATAGCTCCTATATTACCTTTAACTTCTGCTGCACCGGCAATGTTAGGTTGCAAGCTAACTCAAGGAAAACTGTGCAGAGCAGTGCTGTCTCCACCCACGACTCAGAGGTGAATTGCTAATGAGCTACTGAAGCTCTGCAGAAGAAAAGCCCTTAAAAATGACACAGGGAATGTGATTTGGGCTAAAAACTTCATATTTACAATTCAAAGACCACCAAGAGAACACTTTAAATAGTAAATGGAAAAAATTATTGGAGTAGGACTTTAAAGATTAAAGCAGCCATCTGCCTGTTCTACAGTAAGGAACCTGGATCATCGTGCCAAATCAAGGTAGATCTTCAGAAGCTCCTTCTTCCTTTTTTTAGCACACAATTGGCTGAGCAGCACCAGTCTCATATGAGTCATACTAACGAGATAGTGCTGCCACCAAGAGTGCTCTGAACAAAACAAAACCCATACCAGTATGAATTCAAAACAATGTCCAGCATGCATGTCAATGGACTAAATACAAATGCACACTATTCAAGTCCCCCACCCCCAAGCTATCAAGGACAACATTATAGAATAAACTGCTGCTTGAAGACAAGGCAGAAGAGGCTACCAAGGTTAGCCTACCCTGCATAATGCTGAAGGCTGGCTTAAGTAAGGAAGAGGTTGCTTGGGCTAGCCTGGCTAGGTTGACGGACAGAAAAAAATAAAAATGTCACTACTGCTGGGCCCCACCAAGCACCCACTCACTGAGGGACATTCTTGCAGCCACATTTGTTTGGTAGAACCGGGCAGAGGTAGAGGGACAGACTATGTGGCAGCAGCAAAGATCTCCCTCAGAGACCCTGTCACAATACTGTTGCCATGCCCGGGTAGAATGTGCCCGCACACTTGGGAGACATGGTACCCTTAGGGTCACATCACAAGCCTGCTGGATAGTTTCTACAATCCTCCTGTGTCTGGTGCATACACCTCCAGTGCCCTAACTGGAGATACCAGAAAACATCTGTGCTGCCCCTTTCCAGCTTCAGCAGGATAGGCAGACCAAAGTTCAACCTGTTGACTTTCCCAGAGTATCAGAGGACCTTGGGGAAGAATGCAGAACCACTCCTGCCCCTTGATGACAGAAATCTTCACAGGTCACCATGAAAAGAGAGGGCCAAAAACTCTCCTACCATTCTAGCGGTAGCCAGCTGCAGCAGGGACAGCCGCTTCAGCTCTTTTGGCTCTAGGGGCTCAAATGGTACTGGCACTAGGGCCTGTACGACCAGCCTCAAATCCCAAGGTCAGAGAGAGGGTCCACACTGAACGCTAAGACATCTACTGGCCCCCTTTAGAAGTTGGGACAGAAGACTGCCAACTATCTCAGACAGCTGATATTGACCAATACAAACCATCTGGATAGTGGTAAGCATACCCCTGAGGGTGGAGGGTGACTTTCGTACTTTCAGGTGCTCTTTTTGATGGGCCATGAGCGCTCTGAAATGTTTGGACCACAGACTGAGACAGAGCCATAGTTAACTGTTTTGTTTTCACAGGGGCCCAGCTCAGAGATTCAGTCCCTGAGGAAATTGATAAAATAGAGTCCAGCATAGGTGGGATGTCTGCAAACCAAGTCATGTGGGGCCAATAATGAGTGAACAGGATGACCCTCATCTCCTCCATTCGTACTCTCCGCAGGAGAGACAGAAGAAGCAGAAGGGGGAAAAACTAAAAAGCAGGGTGGGTGGCATCTACTCCCAGGAGGAAGGTTGTCGTTGCTCAAACAGAAGAACAAGAGACAGTGGGTGGAGTCCTTTGAAGTGAACAAGTTGACTTACACTTGTCCATGGTGGTGCCAGGTACCCAAAACTACCTGTCAATGTAGCCTCCACTCCTGGGTCTGGACCTCCCCTAGACAGCTAATCTGTGGCCAAATTGTTCAGCCCTGGCACAAGAAATGCTTCCAAGGATTGAAACCTGGGGCTTGTCCACAGCTACAGCTGGCATGCCAGTTTGCACAGGCATGGAGAACACAAGCCTGCCTGCCTGTTGATGTGAGATGCAGCAGTCACACATGTCTACTTTATTCTGTAAGATGAGGACTTCATTCTCTAACATCACACCTCTGTTTTATTGCATAATTAACATGTAAAACAAAACTTCATTGTTGCATTATGACTCACTTCTTGCAACATAACAGCTATTTTATAATGTCTAATAATATCATTACTCATCTGACTAAATTCATTCTTCTAATTATTCTCATAATATTTTGAATATATCCACAGAATTTTGTGTTTTTTATTCTTTAAAGGGATATTTCGGCATAAATTTAAGTTACAGTCAAACACACTATAACACTGAGTTAGACACCCCCTCAAGAGGTGAATGTTGCTGACTGGTTGCTTCTCAGGTTATACCAACTTTAGTAATGTCCGCACGATAGCAACATACAGTGGTCTACCTCAACCAAAAAGCCACTCTAAATATTGCTCGGAACAGCGCCTAACTTCATCAACAGTAAATATAGGGTTCCAGCCATAGTAAATCCTTAAGAGTGCCATACATCATACCTTTGATTGTGAAGATGGAACGAAGATAAAAAATAAAACCAGATACAGACATAGCTGCAATTTTAAATCCCTCAGCCTCAACTATTATTTGAAGTGAAGTCTTAAACTTAATTTCACAATTGACGCTGGCACCAACAAATATTTAGTGCACGGAGAAACCACCCTTCAACAGTTTACAGACCAAGTTAAGTATGACTTGAAAGTGAAATTAGACAGGCAAGACATTTGGAGATTTATCCTGAAACTCTTTGCAACAGTAAAAACCAGAACTCACAGTTTGACAACTAGCACTGGCACGAAAGTTAGCCTCTACCTCACCACTCCACACACACACACACACACACACACACACACACACACACACACACACACACACACACACACACACACACACACACATGCATCTCTCTGCAGCTGACAAGTTTCCAGACAGACTCTGGCCTCTCCTGGCACACACAAACACACACACAGGCCAGTACACATGCATACCTGCACAAACACACACACTTCTGAGAGAGAGTCAGCATTATTCTGTGGATTTGTTTTGGTCTGGTGCAAAACACAAGTCTAATTGGCTCTCCTGTACCTTGTAAATACACACACACACACACACACACACACACACACACACACACACACACACACACACAGAGTATATACAAAGCACACCGGCAAATGTAGTTATGCAAAAATACACACGCACAGCCACACACAGCGACATGCACACACACGACAGGCATAAACTAAACACAAACTTATGCAAACAAAAAACACACACAGTCACACTCAAAAAGACATGCACTAACACACACACACAGACAGGATGTCTCAAATATTTACTCACTCACCTCGCCTGCAGCAGTCCAAGGGCGTCTTAGTCTGAGTTGAGGATGCTGCTCAGTGTGTATTTGTGTGTGAATGAGTGTGTGTGTATGTGTGAGTGTGTATGTGGATGTGTGTGTGAGTGTGTTAGCCTGCCAGCGACAGTGTTGTGTTGGTGAGCGCTGCTGTCGCTCTGGAGTGAAGAGGGAGAGACAGACAGAGGGAGGAAGAAAGAAAGAGGGGAAGGGAGGGAGGTAAGGTGTGCTCTCCCTGCATCCCTCCTCCTCCACCTCCTCCTCCTCCTCTGCAGTCAGCAGGAGCAGCAGAGTGGCAGCAGAGGGAGAGGGTGGGAGGATCAGAGGAGTTAGGAAAAAACCAGGAGCAACCCTCGTTGGCTGCTCTGCTCTCATTCTCTCAGAGTTTTGTTCTCAAAGTCAGTCAAAGTTTTAAGCATCTTGCCTCCAATCAAACCCCTACAAATGTGTAAAAATGAACTATGCATGCTTGTATTTCCTTCAAATGTACCTGACACCCTCCAGCTGTCTACCCTCATCTCCCTGTGTGAGTCTGCTGCAGGGCGAGGAGGTGTCTCTCTGAGAAAACAGAAACAGACAGAAGAGCTGGAGTCAGGGGGAAACTCCCGATTTCCCACAGTACTCTCCTCCCCTGGGTCCCCTCCTCATAATCAGCTCAAACATGAGCTTCCGGGAGATTCTCCCTCATTCATTTTCTTAAGATGCAAACTGACAGAAAGGAGTATGAGTAAAGCTGACATCATGCTGCCACATCAGTACTGGAAAAATTGCAGAATAGTGATGTAACTCTAAGGTTGTTATCTGCCCTGAGATATTTAAAGCCCAATAGAGAGACCTGCTGTCTCAAGGGTTTTAGGGAAAGGGGTTGGGTAAATTTCTCAGTCAAACACATTTGGACCTTCAAGGTTTAAAAAATTCAAAGGTTGGACTTCTGCTGTCTTCTGTTTTGCTGCAAAGCATCTCTGGGATCTCACCTGGGACAGCATGAACTTAAATGAGATGGTATGTTTTTCCTCTGGGTCTATAAATTAGATTTAATAAAATCCTGTAGCATGTGATGTGTTAGATTGAGTCCAACTGTTGTAATTGGTGGACAAAAGTTTCCATCAAAGCCTGACTGAACCCTGAACTTTATATCACTTACCCTAAATCTGACTTTGTTTGCACATCAGAGGACATAACCAGCCTTTTATGAACCAAACTTTTTTCTTTTCCTCATAAGAAGTCGAATTTTAATCCCAAGCTGAGCTGTATTTGGCACTACTGAGTCTGCTGCTCAGACTTTTATTAGGCCCACATACTGTATAATAGATGGACTTCACCTCAGTGATGTAACCCATTTGTTTGTGAAGTGGAGTTTTTTAAGTCCCTCTGTGACGGCAGTCATTGCATTGATAATGCTGACTCAACCTAACTTTTGGTCATCCTACCAAAGGCGAGCCTTTAGCCTTAAATAACTACAGTGTGCCTGCCCATCAGTCAGGTCTGCTGTAACCTCAATAACTTGGAAAAAAAAAGTGCTACAACAAACTCATTTCCATGCAGAGGGTGATTACTTTCTAATCATGCAAGTGGAAAATGAGCATCATTTGTAATGTGCCAAGTCTTTCTGCTTCATCTGTGAACAGCTTTGTGTAAGGATTTGTTTTCCTGAAGGGACCCAAAAGCAGGCAGCGGAGTCAGAGGAAGCTTTAAGTGGTTTTATTAATAAAGATAGGTGCAGGATGGTGAGTGGTCCAGGGTCCAGGGGGTGGAGGAGATCAGTGGTGGAGGGGTGAGGCTGTATGTGAGCTGGTGAAGACAACAGGTGAGTGGAGCTGAACAGAGAGTGTGGCAGTCGTGACAGAGGTTGGGTAGGTGCTGGCGGCTGGTGGAGGTACTAGTGGAGAAGGAAGACAACAGGGGTAAATATCAGGCTGAACAGTCACAGAAAAAGTCTGAAAAACTTGAAGATACTCGCTAGAGGCCTAGATAGTACTGTGGAAGCGGGAATAATCTGGCGCTGAGCAGTCAGAGAGCAGAGCTTAAGGGAGACTCCACACACACACACACACACACACACACACGCACACACACACACACACACACACACACACACACACACACACACACACACACACAAAAGACTCCATGTTGCCCTCAAGTGATGAAACCATCGTAATCACGACACTTTGCAGTCCACCTCCATCAATGCTCCTCCTTTTTTTAAAAAATGTGTTTCTATCGTGTTCTATAAACTATGAGTCTTTGCTGCTGCTCTTTCTGCCTCTGTTTGGTTTACAAGAAGCCTTATAATCCACTCCCACCCCAGCTCCACCTTTAATTGTTTTAATTGTAACCTTTAACCGCTGAGCCTATCACTGTACCTCAGGGGTCTTTGCTACTGCTCTTCCTGCCTTTTGGGAATCCATCCCCACCCACACTCCTCCTATTTGTGTTTTGTGTTTTGTCACTGCTGTATGTTTTGTTCTGTTCTACTTTTCTAAATCAGTGATGCTAGGGGTGGATGAATTTGATATGATGTGTGTGATCAGGTTGTCTCTGATGTTGCTCCGCTGTTATGAATTATTCACCACTCTGAGGGGATTCTGACCAGAAGGAATCAAGTATTTGACTCAGCTGGAATACCATTTGTGTTTCACTGCTTAGTTGTATAATTCCTAACCCTCAAATTCCACTGCATGCGAAACAGCACCACTGCAGAACAGCGGCGATTTTCGCTGTCCGCCAAATCCTACAGAATGTGTTTGTAAGGTGAATTTCGTGGCGAATTTTGGACAGTGGAAATCGCAAGGACTTACAAGAACCTGTGAATTCACATGCAATCCCGGGATAACGAGCTGTCTCTCCAAAGACAGCCACATGACCATATAAGCAGAGGACTGTGTCCTTCCAAAGAAGAAAATCCACTCTGTCCAGACCAGTAGATCCGACGGAATCACTTCCAAGATTTTGGACTTCCAGAATCAGCATCTCCTCATCCATAGTGTCAACAAGGTGAAATGACATCTAAAAACTTTTGACTGTTTGTCCTTGCCCACGTTTGCATGGTGTGAAATACAATCCACCTGAAACACGTAGCATTTTATTTTGAAAAGAAGCCAGATGCTTTTTTGTGTCTGTGCCCGACTTACTTTCCAGCAAGGGCTAATCTGTGCGTTGATGGCCCTTTACACCGGGATTCCACTGTGTGCAGATCCGCTACGCTCCACTCCACTCCAGAGCGACAGGTGGATCAAAAATGCAAGCATACAGCCCCCACCAGATCCAATTCACTGCTGAGGAGGAGAAGCGGAGAAGAGGAGAAGCGCTTGCAACATTACTGATATTTCTCGCAAGACTGGACGAGATCTCGCATTTTCACTGCGAGACATTGATTGAGATTGGCGGTGTATATAAACACCCACATCCCACAACCCTGGCCCCTTCTATTATCAGGTCGTAAATTCAACGTATTGACTTTCTTTTATTTTGAAAATTATTAGACATTTTACTCTGTAGCCGCATACAACTTCCACTGCCGCTCGTGCTGTGCTGCACTGAGTTTATGCGTTGTACTGCGGCGTCTGGCAAAAATAGAAGTCTTGCGTGTCTGATCCGACCGCAGGAGCAGATCTGCAGTGAAGCCGGACGGCAGACACATTGTGTGGGTTCACACACATTGATCATAATGCTTGCGTATTTGATCAGGCTGCCGTTCCGAAGTGTTGCGCAGCCGTTCCGGATCTTGTGGAATTTAGCTGCAAAATGAGTCCTAATGGACAAACTCTGGCTGTCTTTGATTGTTTTTGAAAATAGAAGTCAGTTGTGATGGATGAACCAACACTTGAGCTGGGTGTTGACTGATTTGATAAGCTGGTTAAATACCTTAAAATGAGGGAGAACTGTGATTCTTCCTTTTCTTAAACACAGTCAGAAACACTGAGGAAGCCAAGAGCAGCTGTGAGATCTGCGACTCAGACTCAGGAATGAGAGCTGAGGAGAGTGAATGATGAGAGGAGGACGAGCAGACGTCTGAGGACCACCGTGTCTGCCCACCATGTCGTCTTCCCCTCCTTTTTCCTCATCTGTCTCCCTCCCTCCCTTCGGTTATATTACATTTCCTCTCTTCCCTCTCCTGTTTTTCTCTATCTTTTTCTGCTGTTATTTCTCACCCCTCCCTCTCTTCCTCTCTCTGTTTCTCTCTCCCTTTTTCTGGTCACACTTTTTTCTTGATTTCTTTCTGTTTCCACAGCTGTCTCTTTGCAGCTTTACAGCTCTGCACTTGTTCTCTGGATTACTTTTTGTCTCTTTTGTCATTTGTCATGCTTTTGAAGTTGCATCTCTGCTCTTAAACATTTTAAAATATATCTTATCTAAGTTTCTTCACCACCAATACAAACAGGTGGTTGGTTTCTGGTGCATTTCATTTGTTTGATTGAAAATTATGTATACGTTGACCACAAGCACTGGCAAAGCCCCTCTGAGCAGCTACTTCTGTGAAATTCTGCCATTTCCCTCTTATCCATTCCCTCTGTGTCCAAAAGTCTGCAGCCCTTAAGTCTGTTGGCTACATTAGTTTCGGCTTTGCTCCATTGCCAGATTTTTAAGCTGATACACAAAGTTTAGAGAGGCTGGCGGACCAGGAGTAACTTCGCCTACCAACACCACCACCACCAACAATTAAAGCCCACCACCCTCAACATGACCAGAAAGAGGAAAATCTGTAGAGATCAAGTGTTGCACGAGAGCTTACAAAACTTCTTGGTTGTGTTTTTCTGTTTTTGTGCCCATTTGCATCGTGCCAAACAGTCTGGAGTCATTAGGGTTGGCGCATGCAGACAAAGGAGCAATTAAAGGAGTTATAAACACAACCACAGAAAGTTGCCCACTTTAACTTCACTCTGAAATGTGTGAAACAAAACATACGTACTCCTCCAATCGTTTGGATGGAAAAATAGATTAAATTACTTAAATATGAAGGAAGAAAGGGAGAAAAAAAAACAAAGTTGCACCAGTTTTTGCAAGGTACCCATGATAAGAAAAACGTCTATGTCTGCTGCTGGTTTAGTATTATTTTAAACACATTTTGGTGGTGGGGTCAAATGTGGACAGCCCAGCCACGTCACGACTCACAGCTCCGTGTACTTATTTTTTAG